ATGGTTTTCTTTGGTAAGTGGTAAGAGTATGTGTTTTGAATGAAAAAGGGAGTTATTCCAAAAGGAAAGTGGGAGTTTTGATGCCTAGTGTTTACGGTTGTAAAATGGACTTAGGGTGACATTGGGTTGTTAGAAAAGTTCAATTTTTTATGGCAGAATGGTACTCAAGGAAAAAAGCAAGTTTTTTTTATGAAGTAGGAAAAGAGCAACAGTTTGTAGTAAGCAGTACTGTTTTTGAGGTAGTTCTGTTATCATAGAACGTTTCTTTTTACTGTAAAAGAAATCCGAAGTTATTCATAACCATGTTGGTGTTAAATATTATGATTTTTATAACCATTTTCTATTTTTCAATCACGATGGTAAGTATAACCATTAAGAATATGTTAGTTTGTATGTGTCCTTGCTCTTCCCCTGTTTGATGCATTTCTTTGCTTTTTTCAATTTTCACAAATAAATTCCTAGACAGGTTTACGCTGGAAAATTCTTCTACATGATATCACAGTAGTTTACCATGTGAAATTGACTTATTTAAACAAGCATCCCTGTCTAAAGAGTAAAAATAAATTAAACATGATTAAGTGTTGTGCTTTAGTTGCCCCCATAACATTAGCATGAATAGTAGCATAGGAGAAAACTTGTTCCTTTATGTCAGCTACAATTATGAATTTTAAAAGAACATTCGTTCTCAAGATATCTCCAAAAGAATCAGTGTCTTATTAGATTTCATACTCCTTATGTTAAGAAAATGTTATAACTGACTGGCTCACTAAATGTTCGAGTTGAAGTTCTGGAGTTGCTCATAAGAAGGCAGAAGGTTGATTAGTTTCTACTGGTTTAGGATGCAAAGTCATCACGCGCTTCAACTTTGTACATCGAATTAAGGTTTTGGTTGGTTTCCATTTGCTTTTAGTAAGATTAACATGTTGGTCATTCCTTCTATAGCAAATCTTCCTCTACTAAACAAATACCAGCTTACAGTCAACTTTAGCAGTAAGCTGGAAGACAATGATATTTACTCTTCATCTGTTCAGATTTCTTTTGCAAATTATAAGTATAAGTGAGCCTCAAATAATTTGATAAATAGGTGGAATCTCTATATATAATATTTTTCGTTTGTCCAATATTAGTGATCTTCTTTGTTCATGTAGTGACTCAAATTGCTCAAAAGGTGTTAATTAATCTTCGATTTACTCAACGGATGCTTTTTACAGTTTGGAATATATCTAGACATTGATCAAACTAATATTCTGCATTGGTTGTTTAGCCATCCATTCACCCCTTTTTTCTCCTTTTACTAAACCTTGGTCATGTTTATTACCTGCCTATTAGTAGGGGTGTCAAATGGGCTAGTTGGAGTCAAAATTGGTGGAGTTAATGACATGCCCAAAAATGACTTGGGTTGATGGATTGGGCTAAAAAGCGGGTCATAGCCCAACCCGACCAATTCTTACGAGGTTTTAATTTCTTTGTTGTTCTTTTATAATTTTTAAGCATCTAACTAAACTATTTTTTCTTTATTATGACTATTTATACTTTCTCATCTAGTTTCTTTCCCTGTTAATTTGGTAATTGTAGTATCGAGATCTACAAGCATAACAAAGAAGAACGGATAGCAAGAACTTGGGGCACCACATCCCCAGGTCTTCCTTACGTGGATGAAGCTATAACTCATTCTGGAAACTGGCTTATTGGTGGTGATTTGAAAGTTATAGAACCAGTCAAGTACCATGATGGTCTTGACAGCTTCCGGCTTTCACCTTCTGAACTTCGGGATGAATTTACAAGGCGTAATGCAGATGCAGTTTTTGCTTTTCAACTGAGAAATCCTGTGCATAATGGCCATGCATTATTGATGACTGACACACGTCGGCGACTTCTCGAGATGGGATATAAGAATCCCGTCCTTTTGCTTCATCCTCTTGGAGGTTACACAAAGGAAGACGATGTTCCACTTCATTGGAGATTGAAGCAACATGAGAAGGTTTCTGCATTTGGTTACCTGACATTTTCTATTTTTGGCAATAAAACGGAGCACTAGTAGTGTAGCTACGTGAACGTTCCTCATTTAACAGCCAAGCTTCTGCAATCCTTTTTGCACAAAGTCCTTGTTGATAACTTTTTACTTCTTTAAGCATTTTTAAAAATATCCTGCCCAAAGATGTAGAATATGTCTCAGTTTCTTTTATTCATTTTGTGGCTGAAATCCCACATAAAATTTGATTTGCCTTATCCGTTTGTCCATGTATCGGCATGGTATTGCTTTCTCACTCCTATACACGACTGGATTCTTGTCAGGTTCTTGAAGATGGGGTGCTTGATCCTGAGACAACTGTGTTATCTATATTCCCATCTCCCATGCACTATGCTGGTCCAACTGAGGTGCAATGGCATGCAAAGGCTCGCATCAATGCAGGTGCCAACTTTTATATCGTGGGACGAGATCCAGCTGGAATGAGTCATCCACTGGAGAAGAGAGATCTGTATGATGCAGATCATGGCAAGAAGGTCCTCAGTATGGCTCCGGGACTAGAGCGGCTTAATATATTGCCTTTCAAGGTATGGCAACAAATTAACCCTGGTTAAAGTGCAATATGTCTTTCCTTTTTTATTTCCAAACTCTTAACAATACTAAATTTTCTTGTAGGTGGCTGCATATGACAAGACTAAGAATGGAATGGCTTTCTTTGACCCATCTAGGCCTCAAGATTTTATCTTCATTTCAGGCACCAAGGTTTCTATCTCTCTATTGGCTTTCTGTGTTTTACAACTATGTTGGTGAGTTGTCATGTCCACCAAAAATGGTGTATTTTTGGAGGATCTGACAAATATGCGGCAATATTTTTGGAGAATCCAAGCGATGCTTGGTCTCTTTAGAAGTGTTGGCAGGTACGTGTCGGATCCTCCAAAAGTAGTGCAATTTTGGAGGATCATACTCAGGTGCGGCAGTATTTTTGGAGAATCTGAGCAACATAGGTTTTACCCCGCATCTCACCCCCAGAAAGGACCACTTTGTTACATTCTAGGATGCTAGATCAATTATTGTGGTGCTGTCCTTACAAAAATATGGTGTAATTGATGCCTTCTTTTTCTTTCAGATGCGAACTCTTGCAAAGACCAAGGAGAGCCCTCCAGACGGATTTATGTGCCCCGGTGGTTGGAAGGTTTTGGTGGAATACTATGATAGTTTGGATCAAGCTGAAAATGGCGGAGTTTCTGAAACTGTTCCTGCTTGAATGTATCATCATTGAGAAAGTGAATTACAGCATGTTTGGGTAGAAAAATCCCAGCATGTGTCTGAAGATTTATTTTGACATTACTCTCCAAAAGACAATAATAGTAGTGAGGCCTTATGGGGCTAAACATCCTCGGTGCACTAAGCTCCTGCTACGCGTGGAGTCCGAAGAAGGGTCCAACTACAACGCAGCCTTACATTTCTGCAAGAGACTATTTCCACAGCTCGGACTTGTAACCTCCTGGTCATATGGCAATGGTGCTGCTACACACAACATTTCTACCTATATTACAGGTAGTTGATTTCATTAAAATGAGTTTCCAAGGTTTCTGGGATTGGACTATATTGGCCACAAGTTGGAGAGTACATTATATCTATTTCATCATTTTTGAATAGATGAAAGCATAACTTAGTTTTCACTTAATGAAGGTTTCAGTCTATTTAATTCATTTTGATCCTATGATTTCCACGTGTCTAGCCCATGACTTATCCACGAAGCACAATTGACCGAGGTTGATAGTCCAACGGTCTCCTCGGGGTCGCGATCTCACCCAACTAAGAAGAACCCTTCAACATGGTTCGATTAAATTCTCAAAGTTATACTAGTTCAAACTAAAATATGTAAATAAGATGGGTGAAACATATGAAAGAGAATGTGACACTAAAAGGACGTAAATCATTTTTTTTTTTTTTTTTTGGGAGTGGGGATGAAGGTATTTTGTAGTCAAAAGTCATATGCACAAACCTTAAGTCATAGGAAGTAAAAAGACTCGACCCATTACAAAATCAATTTATTTTCTTGAGAATAGGAACATGTTTGTCAACAAATTTATGAACGTGCCTTTGAATTTATTTTCTTATATTATACCACAATAATAACATATTTGTAATTCCATTACTTCCAAGACCGTTTCAGATAGAGCCTAGGCTCAAGTAAAACATATTAAAGCCGATTTGAAAAAATATATATATATAATAATGAAAAAGTCATCTTAAGAATAGTAACAACAAATAATAGATAACTTAAGCAATGATAATTCATATAATTGACAAAGTAATGATAATTAAATTCTCTTTTGGAGTCATCAAACTTAGACGTGACAACTATACATTATTCTCCTTTTTTTTATTAGTATTAAGTTCATGACTAATTACATTGTTATTTATTTTGGTGTGTCATTAGGAATAAACTAATATATTAGTTAACGACTAATTGATAGTTTATATGGGGGAAAAAATAGGCTATAACCTACTCAAAGAAAAAAAAAATCAATAACTTTATTTAACATATAATTCAAAAAGTCATCAAGAAATATCATATATACTTAAAAGAAAATGTGGATTTGATAATCGTACTTTCCTTCTTGCTTTTATTTTATATCATAATCATTATGATACTTTCATCATATGTAGTAATACCATCATAAAATACATTATTAAGTACTCTATAATGATAGTAGCATATTTAATTATTTGTTAATCCCCCCCCCCCCCCCCCCATAACATTCTTGAATAAGTCTATGCTAGGGAGTTATTTACTCGTGATATAGAAGCTTCATTGTTTCACACATATTTAAATAGGTTAAACCTCGAAATGAATTAATATACTGAACACCAATAAAAAAAAAACATTACATATAGACTAAGGGCTCGTTTGATTACAATTTTCAGAGTCTAAATAGTCAAATAATCCTACAATTAATTCCTTGGCTATATAACATTGATACTGTTTTAACAAATAATAAAAATTTCTTAATAAATAGAACAAAAATATAAATAAATATTTTTAATTATCTATTAAAGTTTGATCATCATTTTAACAAATTCATCAAAGTTGACTTGACCATCTCCATCCAAATCTGCCTCTCTAATCATCTGTTCAGCTTCTTCTTCTGTTAATTTCTCCCCTAAGTTAATCATCACGTGCCTCAGCTGCAATAGAATAGAAAAATATTATAACGAGTTTAAGTTATATACATGAATTTTTTTTTAAAAAAAAATGCACTAATAGTGCATTATCAATATCTTATTAATAAAAGAAATGAAAATATAAATATTTCTATATCGTTAATGTGTGAAATTTACTTTTGATATAATCGTTGATTCGATTAATTCAAATTCAAATCATGCACGTAAGGTTCACTAAAAAGAGGAAATGCTCTCTATAATGAGTTTCTCCATTTTCAGGGTTGAAACTTTCATCAATTGTCTCTTTTAGAAACGACTAATTAGTAAATAATGATTCTCTTTTTATTTCTCTCACAACTTAAAATAGATACTTTAGATCATAGTATAAAGAGATCCCTTTTTGAACAAGTTGAAGACTTTTACGATCTAAGATTTTATAAGTTATTGAAAATATTAGACGATAATCTATTATTTTATCTATAAGATTGAGTAAACATTGGATCTGATTTAATGTTGTCTGAAAAGGTAATTTTACAAGAACTATATATGTACGGCTTTTAAAACTAGAGAATTCAAGATTTTTGATAAAAAATAGAGAGATCTTATATGTTCCAATATGATTCTTTAATAAGATAGAAATAAATAAAAAGTCAAAAGGAGCAAGTGCATTGTTCAGTGTGAACTGTGGAAAAATTCATTGCATTGACAGATTGGTTTCAAAGTTAATAATAACCTAATAATTATCTAGGATTTGAAACAACTGTTAAAAAAAGAATATTTAAATAATAATGACAGAAAATTTTTAACATGTGTTCCCCCTCACCTTTCCCTTAACTAGTTTAATAATTATATTCATTGGTAATCTAATTAAAATATTTTTACCACTAATTCAACACCTTTAAATTTGACGTAAATTATAAATTTCGTTTCTGGACTATTGACATTCTTAAAGCACTCTTCTACTTGACTAATTAAACTAAAATACACACCGATCTGTCACATGACATAACAAGTGGTCTCAAACACTTGTAGGAGCATGTGACTCTTATTGACGAAAATTTAAGAGTGTATTTCACTCATGTTACAAGATCAAATGTGTATTTAAGTTATTTGGTCAAGTAAATAGGTGTTTTTGAGGTTAGGCAATAATTCAAAGATGAAAGTAATAATTTACTTCGACTTTAAAAATATTTTCAAATACTTCTTTTATTTTTAAATTTAAAATACCTTTTATCTTTTTGACTGGTCTTCAAAGGAACAATATGAGTACATGCCGTACATGATTGACTACACTCACAAAATAATATTAATTTATAAAAAAAATTCTAGTAATTCCTTTTTTAGAACATAAATAAAATATATTTTTTCGAATATAAAATGACAATAATTATTAAAAGTATGAAACTCCAACGTAAAATCGACTTACATCGGTAGCCGAAATAAATCCATTTTGGTCTTTATCAAACACCTTAAAAACTTCTTTAAGTTCTTCCTCTAAATTCGTCTCCTGAAAAAAAAAGAATATCATGTCCAAACGACTCCTTAAAACACTTGGAAGTTATTAACTTGACATAGTAACGAAGCCAGAAATTCTAATAAGAAAATTCAAAAACATATAATAATATCATATTTAGAATTTAAATTTGTGACTTAAAATCATTTTTTGAACCCCTCTTACACCACTATAAAAATCTATTTGTTACTTTATTGGTACAATATAATTTTCTGACGAAGAATTCCTTCATTAAATTTAGCTCCGCCACTAGCTTGACATAATCTAGAGGGAGTAGAAATATAGATGAAGATTTCGTAAAAATTTACTCATATCGAGTGTCTGCACCAAGCTAGCCAACATGTATGACATGCCTATTTACACACTTATTAAATCACTTGGTATTAGTAGTGAGTTGATATAATTAATTAAGTGTAAACACCCGATGCGATTAAATAAGTGTTAGGAATATGAGTTTTTACCTTCATTTTCTTGGTGATGAGATTCAAGAATTCATTAAATTCCATGGTTCCATTATCATGATGATCAGCATCAACTTCACTAATCATATGACATAGTTCTTCTTCTGTTGGATTTTCATCCAATGACCTTATAACTATTGCCAATTCTTCAATTGTAATGCAGCCTAAAAATAAAATGTAATATTTCAGATATTATATAAAAGAAAAGGAATAATTAGACCCAAAAAAAAATGTCGAGAGTTAAATTGGGATGAATATGATTAATTAACCCTTAATCAGAAAATTTGTTTAAATGTTGATATCAAACATTAGATGAAAAATCGGAAGGAAAAAAAGATAACTAGTACTCATTATTACCATATCCATGTTAAGGTTTCAATGTTGATATCGAGCATCGAGTAAAACCTAAAAAAATGTAAAGAAAAGATTAATATTATACTAATAATTACCGTGTACATCTTTGTCAAATAAATTGATGGCTTCTTTGAATTGAACAAGTTGATTTTCTTCCTTCACTATTTTATCTGCCATGGTGTTTTCTTTTTGGATCTTTGTTGAGTTAGAGAGAGAGAGAGGAGAGAGAGTTGAGTATATAATGTTGGAAGGGCTTTTATTTAAATAGAAGAATTTTGTTGTGACAAGAGGACTCAAGTAAATGCATTCAATTTCATTAAATTATTAAAAATTAGATTTTTAAAAAGAAAAAAAAAAAGAGAGAGAGAAGAGTGAATAAGGGGTTTGACAAGAGAGAAGTTATATAGCCATATTTGATTGGACATAAAGATTAGTAAAAAAAAAAAAAAAGAGATTTTCGGCACCTATTAAAAGAAATATCTTTAAAAAATTGGCTTGATTATTTAGACACTCGAACTAAGTTATGTTCAAATTGAACATCTCAAATCTTAATAAAGTGTTCCATTTAGATATTTTTTGTTTGAATTTTGAATTTTTTTATGTGTTCTCATTTGTTTGATAGGTAGGTAAGTTAACAATATAAAATATGTCATATCATTTAATTATATGTATTTAGCTCAATAAGTTGTAAGACATCAAGTATTTTGTACCTAAGGTTGATGCGTGTAAATAAAAGAGATGACATATTTTATGTGATTAAATTAACTATGTATGTTATAGATGAATGAAAACACACGCAAAAAGTTTTTTTGAAATTTGAAGCGAAAGTGTCTGGAACACTTTATTAGGAGTTAAGGTGCGTATTTAATTGAAACATGACTTAGTTCGAGTGCTCTCTAAATGAAATATCCGAACAAGTTTAAGAGATTGATTATGTATTAGGCCTTTAAAACTTGTGGAACTAAGCATGTCATGATGTTTTTATGACTAAAAATGTATGTCATTAGAAGTAAAATGAAAAATTTACTCAACCAACAATTTCGGATTTGAGCATTGGAAATGGAGGAATCCCTCGTAGAAAATATTTTCCCCTTAAGTAAACTCTACGTGGCGCGAATTTGAATTATGCAACATATAATTTATTTTATTTTTTGGAATCTCAAGGAAATTCTCAACCTCTATACTTTGAGTGTGCACTTGATAAACATGTTATCATGCCACAACTCACAAATCACATAAGAGATATAACCACACAAGATAAATTTGATGCGATGAACTCGACTAAAAAGACATTGAAATGAGAAATCAATTTCTACCCTTTCATATGAGATATACTACCTATTGCACCATCTCAGTTATCCTTACGAATTGCAACAAATAAAATTTCTTTTGTTTTTCATAAAATTCTTTTAGAAGACATTTCCAAATAAAGACAGTCAAGTTGAATTTAGACCGGTATTAGGTGTAGTAGTTGGTCATGGCTTTATCACGTAAGCCCTGTTAATTTATTTTTTATTAATTGAAATTTATTGACTCGACTAATTTAAAATTTTCGTCATCTAAAGGCCACGATCTCCAAAGACGAATCTAAATTTTTAAATTTTTAAATTTTGAATATTAAAAAGACACCTTACTAATCTCCAAATTCTAAAAGAGAATATTAAAATTTTGACCATATTTTAGGTTTACACCCAAACAGCACGCTGCGTTACGTGCCCAGAGGATTGCCATTTTTAACTTTTTAACTATATAGAGTATATACTTCGATTTTGCGGGATCTTATTGCTCCGATTAAATCTTCTTGTTACTAGATTTTCTATAGGAAAAATTATCGGAATAATTTGTTATCCTTTCCTCTACAGAGAAACCTTTCTTCCAAGGCACACCATAAGAGCCATTTATTATTTTTCTTTGATTCTAGATCAAAGATTAATTTCATCTATATTATATATTAATTATATTAAGTAGATTGTAGACTCCTAAATTTATTCAGAATATGACTCACGTGAATCTATATAATTTTGTTCTAACATTTTATATATATATATATATATATTAGTGAATCTGTTAAATACTAATAAATCTTCAAATTCATTGAAACAAAAGAGGTTCGATGGGAATTGACCATACCAGGTCATGAGAATAAGAGGATTCTTTTGAACAAAATGAAGACAAAATCTTGACTTTGAATTCAGTTTTTATGTGTAAAAACTTTAGGATGCTTGTATGAACCGATGAAATTTCAAATCTTGAATATATGTTTGCATGTGCGTATGTCCAAATCAATGTATTTTTTCATATTTATTCCAAAGTAAGTGACACATGATTTTGAGCACACGACACTAATTCGAACTCTATTACAAATGAAAGTATGGTAAAAGAAAGAAGGATCTCGAACCAGTAAATTTCATGTTATTTTATGTCCAAATTCCAAAGGAATAAGAAAAATGGACTTCTAGCGTTGTGGATAAAAAAAATATTTACTAATTTCTCTACCAAATACCTTCCATGAAAATGTGTTTCAAGTTAACTTCTTAACCAAGGAAAATTTGCAAAAGAGAAAATGATTTAGAGACTTGACTCTGTTAAATTAGGTCTTAGGCCTAACTCACACCCCAAAAGCTAGCTCAAAGGGAGGAGGATTGTCCAAGCCTTATAAGAAGTCCACCCATCTCATTAACCATCGATGTGGGACTTTTGTCATTCTTTAACACCCCACCTCACGCCCAGTGCTTAGCATCTGGTGCGTGGGCAATTTTGATTTTGGGGGTGGGCAATTTTGATTTTGGGGGTCCCAACATCAGGTGAGACGGGCCTTGCTCCGATACCATGTTAAATTAGGTCTTAGGCCTAACTTACACCCCAAAAGCTAGCTCAAAGGGAGGAGGATTGCCCAAGCCTTATAAGGAGTCCACCCATCTCATTAACCACCGATGTGGGACTTTTGTCATTCTTTAACAGACTCATATGGTCATCCTTTGTGATTTCTTAATTTCCTCTATAATCTTCATTCCTTTCTTGTAAAAGTTCGGGGAAGCTACAAAGTTGAGGTAGTATTACGGTCACGATTTCTAGCTGCGGAAATAATCTTAGATAAGGTTTCGTACCTCGAGCATAGCAGAAGCCTAGTGCACCAAACTATACTTTAATACTTTTCGCATTGCATCCTTTTAAAATCATGGATACATAATCTAATGTTAATAGAAATTTTTACTTTTTTTTTACGTACAATTATGTTGTGTCAAGATAATGAATTTAGTTAAACCCGTAGCGCTAAAGCTACATCAGCATATGCCTCCCACATTGGGTGTAAAACACTTTACACTCCCTACCAAAGACGAATTCATACTCAGGGTTCAAATCTAAGACCGTTGATTAAGGCAGGAATACTTACCACTCCACCACAACTTTAGGCGACTCGCACATGCTGAAGTTGTTCAAGGATTAGACAAGAACATCAACTATGAGGGACACACATGAGTACTAAAATACTTAAAACTTGCTCAATATTGGCAAACAATGCATTACTACTATTTATTTCAATGAGTTTTCTCAACATATGATTAAAAAACATGACTGATAGATTATACAACTAGAAAATGTCACAAAGATTTTCTAGGTTTTACCATGAAAATAAAATTTACAAGGGCCCTTTTCTAAGGCTGAAAAACTAACAGACTAAGTTCAACAAATTCATTCATGATACCTTCAACAAATTAACCCGTATGACGAAGCCAAAAACTTTGGTCCGCGACAGAGTTGTGGTCACTGGTGGAGAACTGTCAAACAGAAATTGTGGAGAACTTCTCTTGGATTGATAAGTTGTCCTTATCATTCAGATGGGCTGACCTTTCGGGACGATTTGATCCTTAAGCCACATGTATATTGGAACAAGCACGTAGTAACTTGCAGCCATTATGCCAAGCAGGAATCGCATGAGAAATACGAACGGGTTCACAGGCTTGCTCACATCCTCAACCTTGGGACCGAGCTGCAACACAACAATACAGAGAGTTCACATGCACTTTTCATTTTTATTTTGTATAATGTTGGCCCAAGATGAATTTAAATGGGGGAACATGGTCACTGAGGATTCATATAGCCGAACCCAACTTTCTTGGGACTAAGGCTTAGTTGTTATTGTACTTGTGTAAGGCAAAAATACTGATAGTTAAAATAATTGCGCTATAGGCTATCTGCTAGTCAAGAGCCAAGAAATTCAGTAAAAGCAGATAAAAGGAGGAAGGTGTCCATGTATACTGTGATCACAATATATATCACACAGTTTTACTGTAGACGAAACAAGAAAAGTTTAAGCTTGTAATGCAGAACAGATTTCATAATACTTAAACTTCCAATTGCTTAATGAAATTAGAATTACCAAGAAATTGTATTTTCTGTATAGTATACCATATGTTTCGAGATGTTTGGAAGTGGAAAATGTGTCTGTAAAGTGACATGAAGAGAGTAAGATATAACGTCGGAAAGTCAACAAATGTGTTTAAATTTTTTCCAAGTAAACATAAATAAACAGTAAACCGAAGCATTTAAGTCATCTAACAGATTGACCAACACAAAAGCTTCAAATATGGCATTTTCTAATCAACAACACACGTTTAGGAAAAGAAGTCCTTACCTGCAAGGGAGATTCCCCAGCGTATGGCTTCACTCCAGTCACAGAGCAGCCCATGATCAACCCATGTCGGCGGACACCACGATACCATTTTGGGCCAATCCGCTTCAGCTTAACTTGTGTGAAACCAGCCTTTTTAAACCATTCTATATATTCTTCTTCTTTTGGAAAGAGCATCCACACATCTGCAAAGAAACGAGATAACCAAAATGTTGGGTACACCGGACCAATCACGCAGGCAACCCCACCTATGGTTAGTACCCGATAAGCTTCCTTGATACCACGCTGTGGATCTGGCCAATACTCAATGCTGGAGAATACAATCATGTTATTACATCTAGAAGTAATAAATAGGTGACACCAGTAAATATTGTTGCAGTAAATTGAACTGGATTCCACCAGAATGAGCAAGATCACACATCAAACATATATATTAATCTTGAACTTGCCAACAATAAGAATCAATATAAGCAAAAATTTATAAGTGTAAAATATGGTACTTGGGCCTACCTCAACCACAAAAGCTAGCAAATGAGGGAGGATTGCCCAAGTCCATAGAAGTAAACCAATGGTCCATTCCCGTGGGACTCTACCCCACTCTAACAATAAGTAAGGAAATATAAACAATGGTTATAAGCCTATAGTGAACATGATAACTTTACACTTGCACTCCGTAGATTGAGTATAACAAGCATCTTACTTCTTCAAAGAATCAGCGAATCACACTTCACTTGTGCACTAGTAAATAGTTATTTCAAAATTGAAGCGAAAAAAAGACAATATATGTGGCCTAAAAATCATAGCGGAACCATAGCAAGTTGAACTTCACAACCTCATGGTCTTTTGTTAAAAATACATGGAACATTAAAAAGCATTCCCACATATAAGAAAGAGTAACAAAAACTCCACCTCAGCTCAATGGCGGAGCTAGAGGGAGTAAAGGGGGTAAAATAGGATCCCTTTATTTTAAAATTACACCATGCAAATAGGGAAAAAAAATGTTTTTTTTTTTGCTATATGTTAACTGTTGAATCTCCTTCACATAAGGGGAAATTTTAGTGAAGTGGCCAAGGGGATTCAAAAATTGTTTTAGATCACTAATCCAAATCCCAAGTGTGATTTCTAGTATGTATTTGAATACCCTTGTATAAATTCCTGGCTCCACCACTGGCCAAGCTTGATTAATTGTTTAATAGTATTACATAGAATTATACACTAACAAGAGTAATTTGCAGGAAAGGCAAGACTAACACAGAAAGAAATTGCATTTCAGAAACAGATCACAGTACAATCTTATTTATCCTTAAGAGTTACCAAGATTTGAACTTTATGGGCTCGAGTTCGGGATTCTATCACAACTCATTCGATTTACTGGGTTCAAAATCAATTTGTACTTCTTTCGTGAATTTTTATCACTTCCAATGAAGCCATAACTTAACAGTCTCCAACCACCCCTGAGGATCGGACACATTATCCAAGAAACAAAGTATTGGAGGTAGAGCCACAATACGGGTTCCAAGAAACCCACTAGCTATGGCTCAAATCCTGTACTATTGGTAAGACTTCACCTAATATGTACAAATAAATGTATCCATAATCCACTAAACAAAAAGAGTTGTGGTTCAGAACTCACATACTACCTCAGTTTCAATTTGTTCGTCTTACTTTCCTTTCTAGTCCGTTTAAAAAAAGAACGTCTTTTATATTTTTTTCACTACTCTTTAATTTCAACTCTTCATGTATCACGTTTAACACCACAAGATTAAAAGATATTTGGTACCTTCCAGCTGAAATATATCTATCAAAAGTATCAGTAGGAAATGGTAGATCCTCAGCATCTCCTTCAAGTATCTTGCACTCTTTCAATGGCTCCTTCTGCCTAGCCTTAGCAAGCTGATGAGGTGATTGATCAATAATAGTCACATTTTTAGCATCAACATGCTTAACAATCCCAAGAGTTGTAAATCCAGTTCCACCACCAACATCCACCACTTGCAAATTCCTAGTGTGTAGCTCAGCAGGTTCAAGTGCTTCATCTCTCATATCTTCAGTCCAATGCCCAGGATTTATCACATGGTCATACACAATAGACAAGAACCTGTAGAACCAAAATGCCTCTTTTTTGTGTTGTATGAATCTTGGTTGAGAAGCTGGCCTTGAAGCAGATAAACTGCATTTGGTGGGTCTTAGGGTTCTTGTTGCTCTGAAATTAACAAAACCCTTTTGGGGTAAACACTTAAGATTCAATTCTGATCCAAGAAATGATGACCCAGATGGAGAAATTCCACTAAGAAGCTTGAAATTATCAGCTCCACTCAGTATTGAAGACGCCATGAAAGGATTTTTATAGCTTTGAAGATGTAATTTTTACAATACTTCAAGCTAAAAGAAGCTAAACCCAGATACTATATCTTTTGATTCATCAATTTCGACAAGTTCTTCTGCAATTTTGATGAATTTTGGAGAAGTTGAAGAAGAAACAACACAAGAAGTTCAGTGAGGTAGTAGAAGTCGAAGCATGACCTTTTTGGCTACCACATATTGAGATTAGATTACAACTCGCAAATAAACAAGAACCACAAAGCTATACGACATCGTTTTGCCTCTGTTTTTTTTTTACTCACTTGATTATTTTTTATTATTTTATTTTATTTTTACAAAAAAGAACTAAAACATCAAGAAACTAGTGTGAAAGTAAGCGGGCAAATGAGACCCCAACACCATCTCCGGTAGCTCGTGCAGAAATGGAAGAGTATGTAAGTGTTATTCAAGATGAGACTCGATCAAGATAAATTGATTAATCATCAGCTATTGAATTAGTTTTTCTATAAATATAGATAATAGAGTCGACGAGTTTTTAATTAAAAAATTATGAATGTAATTTATGATATCACTATTCCAATGAGGCACAATTCTTCTAGTTCGTAGCACAAATGAATTATACGGAGTAATATTTTTTGAGTGTGTATTTGGTACTATAGAAAGTATTTTTACGAAAAATATTTAAAATATGTTATTTTCTTATTTATTCTTTTGTGTATTATAGAGCAAGTTGCTCTTTTGAGCGGTCAGGTTTTTGACAACATGTACTATGTATAAGTGACGCTCTTGTGAAACATATCATCATGATCTCAAAAGACTTAAAGAAGCAGCAATGAGTTTACTTGCATGTTCTAAATTTACCTTACGACTTTAAACAAATAATATAAGTGTGTATGGGTGAGGTGGATGGAGTGAACTAACACGGAGTGTTATCATCATATTATACACATAAAAAACAATGGTTTGTCATCATCAAAAAGAATAAATTTGTTAGATCGAGAAAGCTTTTGACAATTGACAAATAGGAGAACAAATGAAAGGAGCAGATTGCGATAACATATTTCTATCAAATCGAGTCCGACTAGAGTAAGAAAAAGGTCAACCACGCGAAGTAAAAGGATTAAGACGATAGATAAAGCACGTATGTGATAAGAGTCCATCTTGTATAAAATTTCCTTTTATAGATAATTCCTACATGAAAAGAAATCTCAAAAAAGGACAGCAATGGAAATCCTAAAAGAAAAAAGAATATTTAGAAGGAAGGATATTTGCTTGAAGAAGGAGAAGTGTTTCACAAAGAACCTGTGCACTTACACATAGTGTTACAAGCAATAGGCAATCAAATAGGAGGAAATTCATATTTGAGAGAGTCCTGACTGCAAATCTAAGTGCAGCTAAGACAAGGAAACAAGACTGAAAGACATATTTCATATGCTTATGTTTTACAATTCTTAAGTTAAGTTTACTTATATTGAGTTGTAATCTTTTGCTTTCAGAGTTAAGAGCACATTTCTAGTCTAGGGCAACTTGAAGTTGGGTTCTATAGTCAAAGGTGATCATTGATTTAAAGAAATTAGAGTTTAGTTTCTAGAATTGCAATAATTGTAATCTAAGTTGTTTTAAGACTCCGTGTTGAGCAAAGTCCGGTTCAATAATCAAAAGTGATTGTTGATTTATAGGAATTAGAGTTTATTTCCTTAGGTTACAAAGTTTGTAATCTTAAATTGTTGAGGCTCATAATTTAATAAAATTAAAGTTAAATTTTGTAGTGGTGTAAGATTGTCGTTTATATATACTTTATGAACTGAAATTTTCCACGATAAAGTATTGTGTTATTACTTTACTCATTTAATTTAATATAGTGTTAGTACTCAATGAAAGAACGGATAAAATAACTTATTACTTAGGCAAATTAGAGGTCATTTTTTTTAAAAATAGTCTTATTCAATAGTTACATCCATATGCAACTTTATATATGTTCTAGGCGTGCATTTAAAAAAGAAGAAGTTGGATACATGTTAAATTGCAGTGTTAGAGTACCATGTATTTTTTTACTTGTTAAATGTATTATCAAATTAACCTTAAATCTAACTCAACGCAAAAAGTTAGTACATAAAACGAACAAATATCATATTAAAAACTAAATTTTGGACCTAAACATCAAATCAAATCAAACAAAAAAAATATCCTTTTTGTGATTCGATTTGATTTGGACAACCTTATCATCGTCTTAACAAAGAGGTGATTTTCTGTAAACATGCCTACATCGTCTCCTTAATTTTAGGCTTATATGGGTGACATATTAATTATGTAGAAATTATAATGTATAAGTTATTTATAGAAGTTTTTAATTACAAGGGATAATATGACGAGATTGTTATACAAGTATTATGTACTTTAAAAATAGTTTTTTTTTTTGTTTTTAAATAGTTTGAATTTTCACATAACAAATAAACATATTCTTAGACCATACTCTATTCACGTAAATATTATATAAATTCACTAAAGCGAATATTATCACATAATACATACAATCAAATGTACATTTTAGTTACGTGATAATTATTTCTTATACGATCAATCAAATATTGTATTGTCTTATGCGTAAATTTACTCCTAATACAAATTTACAAAAAAAAGCGCCATTCGCGTTTCTAGATTAAAAATCTCCCGCGCAATTCTCAAAACGTGTGGGCCCACTTCCACGCTGGCAATCCTTGTGCCCATCAATTCCACCAATCAGCACACAGCATTTACTCCTATATATAGAATCCCTACTCTCTCTTCATCTTTCACCACTGACGCCAAAAACAGCAGCATACAAAATCGAGAGCTAGATTTAGGGTTTTTGTTTCATCGGAAAAGAATGAGTTCCGGCGGTGGATCAGGCAAGGGCGGCGCCGGTAGAGGGAAGCCAAAGGCATCGAAATCTGTGTCTAGGTCTTCAAAGGCGGGTCTCCAATTCCCCGTCGGTAGAATCGCTCGTTTCCTTAAGAATGGAAAATATGCTGAACGTGTTGGAGCTGGTGCACCGGTTTATCTGTCTGCTGTCCTTGAATACCTCGCTGCTGAGGTAATTTTATACTTGATTTGGTGGATTGAATTCAAATTTTACTCTAATTTTATACCATTGATTTTACTTGATTTGGTGGATTAGATTGAAATTCACTCCAATTTTGTGCGATTGTACTTACTTGATTTGGTTGATTGAATTCAAATGTACTCCAATATTATGCGATTGTTTTTAATTGATTGAATACAAATTTTATGCATTGTTTTCACTTGATTTGGTCGAATAGATTGAAATTTACTCCAATTTTTGCGATTGTACTTAATTCATTTGGTTGATTGAATTCAAATGTTCTCTATGCGATTGTTTTTACTAGATTTGGTCGATTGAATTAAAATTTACTTCAATTTCTGTAAGTCTTACTTGATTTCATTAATTGATTCAAATTTATCTCATTTTACGTGACATGATTTGAATCTGGAATCGAATTTAAGGACTGTTTTTTGATATTTTTAGTTTTAAACATGCTATAACAACTTTTTTTTTTCTATAACATAACTTTTGTGATTATTAGACATGGAATTTGTGTAGCTTAAAGAGGCTACTTATTAACTGTAGAAATGTGAATTTTAAAGTTGAATTTATTTTGTTTGTGTGGTTCATTTTGGAACAAATTAAGTAGGAGATAGTGTTACATACACTGGAGTGGTTGCAGTGTTTAATTTGGTTTCATTTGTCAGTCAACTTGCAATCTGATACAATGGTGGTTCTGTTTGTTCATAATCTGTGTTAATTGTTGTGTATGAGCTTTGTTAAGGGTTAACACTTGGAGAATTCATATAGTATGATTAGTTCATGTTGATGGTTGGATAATCATGTTTAGTAATGGACTGTGATAATCAATTGAAGAATTGGTATTGGTGTTTAGAGATTTATCTAGTTTAATGTTACTGATTATCTGGAAATTGTGATGCTGGAGTTGTTTTCTTTAGTGTAAAAAAACTTGTACAATCTTTTGAGACTAAATTTATTATAATTTCTTAATTTAGGTGTTGGAGTTGGCTGGAAATGCAGCAAGGGATAACAAGAAGAATCGTATAGTGCCGAGGCACATTCAGTTGGCTGTGAGAAATGATGAGGAGCTGAGCAAGCTTTTGGGTCAAGTTACAATTGCTAATGGAGGTGTCTTGCCTAACATCCACCAGAATCTGTTGCCTAGAAAGGCTGGCTCAGGCAAGGGTGATATTGGCTCTGCATCTCAAGAGTTTTAGAATAAATGAACTCCTAGTTTTGAAGTTGATCTGTAGTGAACAATTCATAGCTTTGTAATATAGAATTGGCTCTTGTTTTGATAGTTTTGAATTCAATGGTGCTGTCGACTTTCTGTTTTGATATACAACTTGGAAAGTTTTTGTGATGCGAATGGAATTAGATCTTTTTGGCTGTCAATTTGCAATTTGATATACAACTTGGAAAGTTTTTGTGAATGGAATTGGATTAATTGGTGTGATCCTTTATGACCTTGTGCTGTGAACTTTGGTTTGCAGTTTGCTGTGACAGTTTAAATTGGAACTAGTCTCCTTTTTCAAAGTATATGTTCACAGCAATGCATTGTCATTTACCCAAATGGGCTATACAGTTGTATAATCTGCCTTTTCACCCCCTAAACAGCCTTTTGGGCTATACAGTTGTATAATCTGTTGTCATCTGAATTTGTTTCTCATTTTCTTGTTTCCTTCTGTTATGACAAAAATATGAAATACTTGAGTCATATATATATGCAGTGATTGCAGATGTTGTTTCAATGTAGTTTTGTTCCAGCAGAGTGGCATTAACATCAATCCTACTGCATTCCACCCATAACTTTGCTGTATCTGAATTTCAAGAATACTGGACCAGGAAATATGTGTCAAAAGTCCAGGTTAGCCCCTCTTTGCTTTGTGTCCTGTACGACCTGGGTTCCAAGCTGGTCATTTTATCATATAGTTTTCATCTGAACATGTTAACAAAACGCTTATTAGATGGTTTGCTACATTCAATTAGTGAATGGAAGTTTCTCCACAATGCTTGGTTATTACAGCCGCGGTAATTCCAAAGGTGGATCTTCATTTGGGTATAAGATTGAATCCTTAACTCTCTCCTAGGAGCCAATGACATCTCCAGAGGGAGAAAAAGGATTCAATCTAACACTCAAATGGAACTGCACCAACTATAATAATTCAGAGTTACGTTATGAAAGAACTTCTGTTCATAGCTTGAATTGAATATCAATTATATGTATGTCACTAATTGAATGACAAATCATTTTTTCACTATTGGAGTTTAAACTTCACAAACTTATTCGAGATAAGTGGTGATGGTTTTTCATGAGTTGTTATGATGTGAAAAAGCGACAAGCTTGTTGTAGACTGAGAATAAATATTCTTTTTTTGTGCAATTTCAAATGTGAAGTTGGTCTTTATATCGTATTGGTGAAATTGAATATTGACATTTAACAAATCCTCTCTTTTCTTATTGAATATAATTCAAATGAAAATTTTCCTTGGCTTAATTTACATGTCTAGATTTTATCTATCAGTAATTTTAACGTAGTATAAATGAACTACTAAGTTTATCAAGCACAATGAATTAAGCAAATTCAAAATTAAGAGTTCCATTAATATTTGGAAAACATGCAATCATCATATCAGTTCATAAGCATTACATAAAATGTTGTCACTATGAGCAAAAGGTGAAGTTTAGCATACAACAAAATTTTCTTGCTTTCTCCACCTAATGATGTTAAATATCCAGCCATAGGATTTTTAAATTCTGGAAAAAGTGAATAAATTGTAACATTATCATGTCTAGCTGAATTCAGAACTGGAATATCATCCATGTTTGGTGGCAATGGCAACACTAAGTCCTTTGGTACTGATGGTAGTGGTAATGGTGGTGGCTCATTTGGTGATTTTGGATGCCAAAAAATTGGTATTGGTCTACTTGGTGGTGGCCTCATTTCTTGTACTGGACTAACCTTTGCTTTAGGTTCTACAAAAAAAAGTAAATAAATATAACAAATTAGCACCAAAATTAGATATCTTTCTGCAAAATGTGTCATGCTATTGCTTCATTAAAACTTATGTGACATAGTTTGATTGGACGTGGAATTTAATAGAGAAAAAAATATTTTGAAACTTATGTTATTAAACATGTCATAACATTTGTACGTTTATTAAGACTTTTGAACGTTGATGTTTTAGCACAACTTTCAAAAGTCTTACCAGATCTTGGTAAGAATAAGGGAGGTTCAATTGAATCTCCTTTGCTGAGAAATTTTACTTTGCAAATAGAGAAAAAGGTATGATATCATAGGTAAGTCAAATTACGTAACGTAAATCTGAACGAAGGGAGTAATTAATAAGCATAGAAATCAAAGAAGAATTGTTATCAATTACCTTGACAATGTGTCAATGGAGGTATTGAAATGAAGCAATTAGAAAAAGGTAGTACAAGTGAGTTTGTTATAAGAGGACTTGAAGAGCCTAATATTGCACACAAGCAATAATATCCTGCTTGAATCACTTGATTGAGTGCATTGCAACAAGAATCAAAAGAAGCTTGGTTTTTGTCTGGATCCATGCATTTCTCCAAGTTTATCCCTTCAAATGAACATTGTGGCAAATGACATGTAGCTATTGGGAACAATGTAAAAGTAAAAAGAAGAAGAATAGATGCAAAAACCCAATTGAATTTAAGAGTGTACATTGTTATCAACAACTTTTCAATTGTGATAATGAATTTGTAAGAAAGTTTTGTGTATATTTATGCTTTGTAGTCATGAGTGTTTTTGCTTGCTTATAACCTACTCATATCATACATTTGGTGCTTTAAGCTCATTCTAGCTAGTCATGCTACAAATGTTGTAGATGAGCACAAATATTTCACAATTTCATATGGACTAGTTGAAGTCAAACTCATTCAGAAAGTGTTACAACTGGATATTAGACGTGAAATTTCAGATATCGTATGTTTGAAGTTCGTTTCAAAGTGAGTAGACATGCAAAATATCATAAATAACTGGGTACAAATTAAAAATAGTGTGTCGAAATAGGGTACCCCATGAGATTTTTACATAACAAACACTCAAATTTTAAAAAATTCAAAGAGTCCTTAGTATTAATACAACAAGAAATACATTAAAAAAATTCAAGATTCTGTATTACATCAAAGAATAGTTGTATAACAAAATAGTACAAATCTCACACAAATTTTCTAACTTTAGTACTGTCTAACTTCAAACTAATACAACATAAAAGCAATTGCACCAAATGCAGCAATGAAGGCCAATGGTGAAAAACCATAGCCAACAGAAGGGGCAGCTGATGGAGTATTAGGGTTTTGACGGCGGCCGGAATTCGTCGCGGATGGAGATGGTGGAGTTACAGTAGGAATTACATCAGCTTGTGGTGCCAAAGCTGGTGACATTGGGTTGAAAGCTGTTGTACCTGGTGCAAATTAAATTCATTATCAAGTTAATCTTTTGATTCATACGCTTTTAACCTATGTTGCTCGGATTCTCTCAGAATGTTGTCATAGTCGTGTTGGATCCTTAAAATAACTTTTGAAGGATCTAATACATACATTTTTTGAAGAATCCGAGCAACACAACTTTTAATCTATATTGCTCAAACTTTTCAAAAATGCCGCCCAACATTTTTGGATCCTTCAAAATTAGTGCATTTTTGGATAGTTTGAGCAACATAACTTTTATTTGGTTAACCGATTCAATTGAGGGATCAAAATGATTATACATACATGAGTTAAATTAGTCGATTTATTAGTAAAGAGAAATATATCAATACGAGTGAATAGATTGACCTTTCAAACAAACATGGAACGTTTACTTATATATTCATCCATAGGTCAAATCGGATATGAAATTATTAGAATAATTATTTCGGAAGCTTATGGACTACAAAATGATACTATTAAGTAATACCTTTAGGACTAGGAGAAGGAGTAGGAGCTGATGTTGGTGAAGCACTTGGAGCCTCTGTTCCAACAGGACCTATATTCACAAAAAGTAATAATTTCACATTTTCATGACAATTTTAGATTATAAAATCTTGAAATATGGACATTATTAAAAAAAAATGATTATATGATATAGGTACTAATATATACCTGGAGCTGCTGCAGGTGGAGTGGAGGCTGCAATCAAGAGAACCACAAAGGATGTTAGTTACCAATTAGAATGAAAAAATATGTTGATATGTAAATACATATATAACAGTCTTCTTAAATTTCTTATTTGTGATAAGAGGAATGAAGTGTGATTGGGAGGTCATAGGTTCAAGTCGTGAGAATAGTCTCTTGCTTAGATTGCATACATATGACCTAAGCAATGGACTACCTCTTTGATAAGAGGAATGAAGGATATAACATTGGCCCAATAGTAAAAGTTGCAACTATGTGATTAGGAGGTATAGTGGGAGCTTAGTGCAACGGGCTACCTCTTTGATAAGAGGATTGAAGGATATAGCCTTGGCCAAATCGTAAACGTTGCAACTATGTGACAAGGAGGTCACAGGATCAAATCGTGGCAACAACTTATTGTAGATATGTAAGCTTATATTCGATGTGTAGGATTCATGGGGTAATCAAGCTAATGACTTATGCGTTCATCCGAACCCAAGCTTGAACACACAATGTTCAAATACTGAATCCACCTTGACCTATGTTACTACTACTGTCTACTACCATAAAATTCTTTTACCTTGGCATTGGAGGGGAACCCGAGCCATGTTACAAGCTCGAGGAAGAGACATGGTTGTGTTAGGATTAATAGGAATCTGAAAGGGAATGCCACCACTTGCAATAACACAGAGACAAGCAGAGCCATTGCCCATCATTGTTCTCAGTGCATTGCAGCAGCCAGGAGATGGTGTAGCCGTTCCGTTGCCGTTGGACAAGAAATTCAAGCAAGGAGTGAAACTTGTCAGCATTGTTGCTGTACATGGAGATGTCACAATTTGGGCATTAATAGGCAAAATTGCTAAAACAATAATGCAAGAAAGGAAAGAAATAGAGTAATGAAAAGCCATAGTAACTAATAGGAAGTTTTTTGAGAAATTGTTTTTATGATATGCTAGTAATTTGTAAATTTGAATGGTTTATTTGGTGGGGAGAAGTAAAGAGGGAATATATAGAGGGAAATGTAGGTGAATGAAGTTCAACTACCTTAACAAACTTCTCTTTTTGGTCTAATTTTTTCAATAGTTTTGCTGGCTTTGCTTGCCGTGGCCTAATTGTTGTTCATTAACTCCGAATTCATCTGAATACGGTATTTTTTATACGAAACATAGAAGAGAAAATCTCTTAAGTTTCAATAAACATAACATATTGAATTCGTAATTTGTAAGTGGATAACTAGTTCAGTAATAAGAATCTAAAAGGGTAGATTTTTATTCGCACATGTGTTGATACTAAATTTATATAATTTACTATTGTTAAGTGATTAATGAAATGAAAATACGAGTTAACTATAACACATATAACTCAAGATATGAATCATCATTGTCATTACTTTGAGAATTCTGATTCAACTGCCTTAGTATTGGAATAGTCAACATAAATAAAAAAAAGTTGACTTGCAATTTTTTCAATTTTTTTTTCCCACACTTGGTGTTCGGTACATGTTTGGGTCTAACTAATCAAAATTTATTTTGAGAAGTCTCACTTTGAATAAAACGTTCTTTAGCAAAGGCGATCCCTTTTTGAGGTCCATGAAAACTAAGTATGAATTAAATTTTCGTAAATAAAGTTATTTTTCTTGAAAAACAAAAGTAAAAACCAAACAATGTTTAGATAATGTTGAACTTGAATTCTACTTTTTTCATTCACAATATGCATTTTTTTGTAACAATCATAAACTTTCTTTTTAACATATTTTTTTTTACCAATAAACAATTGTGGGGTCAGTTAGTTAGCATGAGTCGGCCACCTGCATAACTAATTATTATCCAACTCCACCTAACCCCTTTGTAAATTAATGACAAAAAGGATAATTAACATGTTATGCGAAGCTACTTATTATAGATTATCAAATCGATATTATTAAATTATGGTGCTCTAGTGTTTTCAAAAAAATGTTGTTATACCTGTATCTGATTCTTAAAATATATATTCTATTTAGAGGATTTGATTCATACGGCCATCATCGATAGTTAACTTAAACAATATTACTATACCGAAAAACTCGTTTGACATATATATATATATATATATATATATATATATATATATATATATATATATATATACTGTGCTACCACATCACAATTTTAGTTGTAAGTCAATGTCAGCTAGCTTCATGTTCCTCCTCTTGTTGTTGCTGGGCTTGGGCTTCTTGCTGTTGTTGGGCCTGGCCTGAAAAGAGAATAATTGATCAAAATTGTAAAGTTTTAAATCCTTGGGATCTTTACCCCCATACTAATTACTAATCCTTAAATAATCAATTCCAGAATAAGTAATCCAATCTAACTAATCTCAACGTAACTTGTCTTCCATAATAAATAAAATTAAAAGTAACATCCATTTTAGCACATGTACTTAATTAGTTTTTATGAGACTAGTAATTTGAAACGTAGAACAAGGCAATCCAAGAAAGAAAGAGAATAGTTGAACCAAATTTAAGTCCTTTCCTACAACTTTCAATAATTAATCTTTTTCCCATTGAAAGTGCATGCAACCTTATTATCTTGAAAAGTATTTCCTCTGTTTCAGTTTATGTGAATCTTTTTTTTCTTTTCGAGAGTAGTCTCATCCAATCCATCGAAATAAAATCTATTTCAAAGCTTTAAATTGGTACCTTAGGATTGCTAGTTAGAATTCTCCTTACTCGACATATGACTTCATTTTTCAAATCTTCTTCAACTCCTGGTGTATTCGAATTCAAAGAGTACTCCGTCATTATCCACATGAGTTCATCTGAATCCACACCCTTCTGAAACAACTTGATCGACTTCTTAAAACCTCTGTTTTCACCTGTAACTTCATTAATAATGCCTATAAGTTGGTTGTCTCTTTTCCAATAGAATCCCAATGATGATGATACTGATATTTTATCCTTTACAGTAGTCACAAAGTATTTGATTGTTGGATTTGCAGGGTCTCCGACTGCACCAGCAAACAACGCTGATGGATTTGTTATATCGCCATAAAAATTTGCAAAGTTGAAGGTAGCTTGAGGCGGATTGGCTCGTCCTGTTACATAGTTTTCCAGGATATTTAGTATGTCATTATCACTCGGATCAAACCTCCATCCTCTAGTAGGTATCCAATTATTCTCCATGAATGTTCGGAACTCAAAATCCTAGCTCCGTCTCTGAATGTCACACAAGATGATAAGAAAGAGAAAAGAGCAACAACAGTGGAGTCTGAGAAAGATAGAGTGTAAATAGACTTTATTATGTAAGCAAATTATTTTGAAGAATCCTTTTTCTTCAAAAAAGACTACTTTTTTTGACCTATTCCAAATAGAAATAGGAAAAAATAAAAATATTAAACCCTAATATAAAGTCTTTTCCCCCCTTTACTACAAACGATAAAAGAATTATGATTATGTCTAAGAAGAAAGCACAAAAGAGGCTAGACATGGAAGGTGATACATCCATTAATCTTGCATTTGAGATCATATTTTTTATATTTACTAGGCTTCCTGTTAAATCGTTGTTACGTTTTCAATCTGTTTCTAAATCATGGAATGTTATATTAGTTGAACAAAAATTCAAGAAAGCTCATCGTGATCAATCCAAAGCATTGGGCCGCGAAAAGCTCATGATACAAAGAAATAATGGGAATTTCGAGTTGAGAGACTTGGAAATTGGTCATTCTCAATTATGTTTGATTGAAGAGCAACTATTTCCTCTAAAAAGATTTCAATGTGGTGAAATCTTGTGCTCATGTGATGGTTTGGTACTTTTAAAGGCCAATAACTCCGATAAAGAGTATGTTTTGTGGAATCCATCTACAAGAGAATATCGAATTCTTGATTCAGGTCCTTATTTGAACAACCACGAAGATGGATGTCCGAAAGCTTGTGGGTTGTGCTATGATTCAAATCTTGATGATTACAAGGTTATACTGATATATAACTCGTTTTATGTTGTCTACTCTTCGAATAAAAGTTGTTGGACAAAGAAAACAAGTTTCCCTTGTCCAATACGACTATTTAATAATCGTTGCTCTCAAGGGATTAGCACGGGAGAGAGTGTATTTTGGTCTTTGAATTGGTGTTTAATCAACCAATATGTAGATAGTCAAACTTCTACAATCATATACTTTGACGTAAAGTCAGATGTACTGAAGAAACTTTCACTACCCGAATTTATAGGTGTGAACGGTTTCTTTAGTTTGAATACTTTGAAAGGTCGTCTTAGTTTATATGGAGGAACATACCATGACAAAGAATTGGACATATGGATTATGGAACAAGATGGATGGAAATGGTTAATGAACGTGTGCAACTTGCCCTATATTTGCATAAAGTTTGTACAAGATAGAAAGCTTTTGTGGTGCAGTAAAAATGGTGAAATTATCTTTCATGGACAATGGAATCAACAACTTATCATCTATTATCCTAAAAGGAAACAATTCGTTACAGTAGCTGATATGTCCAAAGATTCCATGTATGCCACGGCGTTAACATGTTTGGATAGTTCATATTTTCCAGGACTCAATGTCAAGGAGGAAGTAACAGTTCCAAGACTCAGAGATGGAGCCATGATTTGAACTTTATGAGTTCTGAATTCTAGTCCCGGGACTCGGACATATTTAGTGATTTTATTTAAATCTTTTTCTAGCAATAAGTGTAATTGCCTTTAGAAAAGTTTTGAAATAATAATGAAAAAATAGAAAAATTAGGATCTAGAAGCATGTGCATTTAACAAATTGTGGGGTTTGTTAGATTTCATGAGTTGGCCACCTGCATAACTAACCATTATCCTACTCTACCTAATTCCTTTGTAAATTATGATAAAAAAGAATTTAAGTTGTATATACTAATTTTATTTTTTATATTATTAATATAATTTAACATGTTATACCAAGCTACTTATAGGTTGCTTCAGCTTTTTCAAAAATATTGTTGTACCTATGTCTAGTCTGGCATGCATCCAGTGACATTTTTGAAGAGATCGAGCAACAATGACTTGATAGGGTAAATACCGTCAGTGTGTATAGAACAAAAACTAATGACAAAAATCCAAAATGCCAACCTGTGACAACTATTTTTTTCCTTGTTAGTCACCAATTATTAGAGCATCTTATTTTGACTCTTACTTCTCAATCTCCTAATATAAATCAAACAAGCTATCTTCTTCTTCCATCAACATTGTGAGATCAACTTTACTTCCAAAACAGAACTATTTCTTAGCAACAAATGCCAATTCAAATGGCGAATCATCAAAGGATCAACTCGAGAGGTCTTGTTTTAGTCGCATTGGCAATGATCTGGTCCGGAGTTGCTGCTCAATTGAGCAGTGACTGCACGAACGTGTTAGTCAGCATGTCGCCTTGCTTGAGTTACATCACGGGGAACTCTTCATCTCCGTCCTCAGGGTGCTGCACGCAGCTAGGCACGGTGGTTAAGAACAATCCAGAGTGTTTGTGCCAGGTCCTTAATGGTGGTGGCTCTAACATGGGACTCAACATTAACCAGACTCAAGCTTTGGCTCTTCCTAATGCTTGCAAAGTTCAAACTCCATCAATTAGCAAATGCAATGGTAAGAAAGATCATCCAATCCAAAATACTTCTCTCTGTTTCATTTTGTGCGTCTTAGTTTGACTGTACACAAAGTTTAAGAATGTAAGTAGGCGTTTTGACATAGATATTTGGTCGAAATTTGAAAGTTGAAGTTGTGTTTGGATATACGTTCACTTATTCAATATCCAAAAAAACTCAATTAAGACATTTGAATCTTGTGATTTTAAACAAGCCGTTCATTATCATCAAGGTTAAAATGAGAATAATGGAACTAAAAATTTACTAAACATAGAAAAGAGACATTCTTTTTGAAACAGACTAAGAAAAAGTACGACCACATAAATTTTACGTCTTGTGAATTTGATTGTTCACTAACATTACTTGCCTTATAACAGCCGGATCCCCAACTAGTTCTCCTGCTGGAACACCAAGTTCTCCAAATACAGAAGCTTCAGGTACATTATAATCCTTTCAAATTTGAGTTTTATGTTGGTCGGACTCTTAAAAAATGTTGTCGAGTGCATGTTGAATCATCAAAAAGTAGTGCATTTGTTTAAGATCCGACCCTGGTACGACAACATTTTTGAAGAGTCTGAGCAACATAGTCTGTATGAACTCGAAATGCTTATAAACTTACATAACATATCGCATGACAGGAAGTGGATCTATCCCATCATCACGAGGTGGTTCCAATGATGCAAGTTTAACCAAGATGATTGATCTTCCTTTCTTCTTCCTTCTCTTCATTAGTTCTTATGCTTCAGCATTCATAGCATGAGTGGTTATTGTGTTTTGTGTTCTTTAGTTCCTCTGCAAAATGTGTCTTTGAATGTATTAGTTGGTTACAATTTGCTAAACAGAAATTGATTTGAAAACAAATAAAGAGATTCTCGTTGTCCCAATTTATATGACACACTTTCTTTTAGTCGGTTAAAAAGATCATAATGACACCATTTCATTTCAAATGGACTAATCAAATTTGGGGTCAAACAGAGTCGGTCGGTCAGTCATATTTCAAAAAGTTCATGGACTAATACATACAAAAAATTGAGATAATTTTGATTTCTAGTTTCGTGACCTTGAAACTCGAAAAAAGGCAACATTGACCCTCTAGAGGTAATGAATATTGTTCCTTGGGTCGTTTCGAATGGGAGCATGAAATTTGAGGACAAATGGAGTTGGTCAATCATATTTCAAAAAAATCATATTAATACATACGAAAAGCTAATTAATCTTGAATTTCTTTTTCGTAACCCCGAAACTCTACTAAAGTGACGTAGGCCCTATAGAGGCTATGAGTATCGTTAACTAGATTGTTTCGAATTGACCTATAAAAATTTGGGCTCAAACAAAGTTGATAAGTCATATTAAATAGTAAAATTCATGGACTATGTTTGCAACAAATTTTAAACATATGGAAAATAAATAAACCACATAAATACAATCTGAAGAAACATAATTTTATTGATAAATATGCGGGTACAATTCTGTTCTTCCCTTGATTCTACTCTCCTAAGATTTATCCATGATTCGAGTGCCATTAGTGGCGTATTTATCGAACTAGGATGATTTAGATTTGACCTCTATATGAGTATTCCATGACTTTTGTAGAATATTCGAGATCCTGATCTTTAAAAATACCCAAGAGTTCATGGGATATTTTTTTGAGATGCCTTTTAAGGGAATTTAGTACCCTTTATATAGGCATAAACTATGGTTTAGGGTTGAGTGGCCTCCAAGAATTCTAATTGAAACTGAACACACCTTCTAGAGTCCCAATTCGAATTGAACACGTCTTGTAGAGTCCGCAAAATTTCAATGTCTACAAATGTCCCCTGCTTCAAGGCTTGTCGGAGTGTAGACTCGATGAAACTCAAAGACGAGGCTTGAAGTACTCATTCTTCCACCTTTGCAGCTTCAGATTTTCAGATTTGATTAAAGAGAGAAGAGATGAAGGGCAGATTTGGTCCCACTGGGCGTGCCAGTTTGTTTGTAATAAATTTTAAACATATGGAAAATAAATAAACCACATAAATAAAATCTGAAGAAACATAACTTTATTGATAAATATGCGGGTACAATTCTATTCCTCCCTTGATTCTACTCTCCTAAGATTTATCCATGATTCGAGTGCCGTTAGTGGTGTATTTCTCGAACTAGGATGATTTAGATTTGACCTCTATATGAGTATTTCATGACTTTTGTAGAATATTCGAGATCCTGATCTTTAAAAATACCCAAGAGTTTATGGGATATTTTTTTGAGATGTCTTTTAAGGGAATTTAGTACCCTTTATATAGGCATAAACTAGGGTTTAGGGTTGAGTAGCCTCTAAGAATTCTAATTGAAACTGAACACACCTTCCAGAGTCTCAATTAGAATTGAACACGTCTTTGTACAGTCCGCAAAATTTCAATGTCTATTGACTAATACTCATGAAAAACTTTGATAATCTTGCATTCTTATTTTGCAACTCCAAAACTCTAAAAAAAGTGAAATCAAACCTATATAGGGAGTAAATATCTCAAAAGGTCACTCAACTATGTGAAATTATTTGAGAAAGTCCCTCAACTTATGGATTTTCTTTTATAAAATCATTCAATTCAAGTTATTTTTCTAGAAAATCATTATAATCAAAAGATAAAAGAGATAATTGCACAAACTATCATTCAAGTTTAGTTTTGCAATACTTACTTCCATTATAGTTTATAATATATTATGTTTATTTCTCTTATTTTATTTAATTTTAAATAATCATTTTCTTAACCTAATTATTATTAACATAAAAATTTATGATTTAACTAAATTTTCCTTTATCATATATTATTTAATTTAAATAGTTTTATAACTTTTTTATTCAAGTTATCAAAAAAATCTAACTTTGCAAAACAAACCCATTTTTTATTCTATATAAATATGCACGCCACACTAAATAATATCATATTAAACACTAATATCAAATATTCGACCCACAAATTAAAATGAAATTTTAATTCAAAACCACGCAAACAGAAATACTGAAGGGATATTCAAAAATTAGCTGGTATCTAATATTTAGTTGAAATAATTTTTTGAAAATTTTTTTGCAAGGTGGGGAAAAAAGGAATGATTCTTTTTCTTAAAAAACATCTCAGGTTGACGAAGAAAGAAAAAGAGGGAAGAATTTGGGGGTGGGGGAAAAAGAGGGAAGAATTTGAGGGGGTGGGGGGTGAGTTTATCTCAGCCTCATCCTGTCATCCATGTCCAATTCCAGTTGGGGTGGGAGGAAATGATTCGATTTTGGAGTCATCGAATTTGGATTCGTCCGACTAATTTTGAAGTATTGGTGTATGTGCATTTTATTATCAAAATAAAATTGATGGGTATAAATTATGGTAAAATATGATGAAACCTGAGCCAAGTTGAATATATGCTTAATGCTTGGACAATTGAGTTGATATTAATTAAGTTAAGACAATTACTAAAAATAAAATAAAATAAAATAAGAGAAATAAGCATAATATTAAACTACAATAGAAGTAAGTATTAACAAACTAAACTTGAAGGGTAGTTTGTACAATTATTTTTTTAATCTTTTGGCTATAATGATTTTCTAGAAAAATAATTTAAGTTGAGTGATTTTATAAAAGAAAATCTATAAGTTGAGTGACTTTATTGATATAAAACCAAGTTGAATGACTTTCTCAAATAATTTTACATACTTGAGTGATCTTTTGAGATATTTACTCCCTATATAGGTAGCGAGTATCGTTTACTAGGTTGATTCGAAAAATATAAAACATTGAATATTTATGTGGCTACAAAATTTCTTTCTACTAATGATAAAGATAAATAAAGTTTAAGTTGAATTATTTTTAAATTTAAATGGGTGTTTTTCTAAAGGGAATAATAAGCATACAAGTCCTGCCATTCATTCACTAAAATGATTCCATTTTATCGAGATTTAGATTCGTGTCACTTTATTCTCATCATGTCGTTTCCATCTAGTGTGGTAAGATGATTACAAATTTTATATCATTAATTAGAAATCTCTGATTCGAATTGTTAAAATAAAAAATTATATGACATAATAATATTTATCCTTAGTAGATCTACTGAAGAAAGAATTATGTGGTAAAATAATATTTATCCTTTACTAGATCTACTCGAAAAGAATTGGATTAATCAAGCTAATATACTTTTGAATATCGAATGGTTCTCATGTGGTCATTTGTAGCCTACCACCTCATTTCAACTTACGTCACTTTATTTGATATGTTTAAAAAAGAAAAAAACACTTTTAAAACTTGTAATTTGAATTGAAACGGCAATAATATTTGGTAGACAACGATTTACTCACTTACTCACTTGGAGAGACTATTCGAGGAAAATCTAAATTAGTTCAACCAGTTAACTTTAAATATTGAATAATTTAACAAAAAAAAAATATTCTCATGTTGTCATTTGTAACCTACAAATGTAGTGCATGAGGGTCCATCTTTTTTTGTCCATGCATCAAAACGTTACAATTACTCCCTTTTCTTCTTCTACTCAATCTTGCTGATCAACAATAGTAGTAATGGCACCAAACAACATAAAAAAACTCAGGAAACTGCCTCATGTGTTCAGCAAAGTCCTCGAATTACCGATCCCGTCGGACGCGGATGTTGAGGTGGAAGAAAACCCCGAATTCTTCCGTTTCATGGCGAAAATCGAGCAGCATGGTGAAAATATTCGTAATGTGAGAGCACAAACAGTGGAGATTCATCCGGGGATTACGAAGATAGTAGTGAGAAATGGTGGTGGTGGTGAAGCGGAGGTACTGATGTTGGACCAATTGAATGTGGACACGTGGAGATTTAGGTTACCCGCGTCCGCAAAGCCAGAGCTGGCTACGGCTGTGTTTGCGGACGGGGAGCTAATCGTGACGGTGCCGAAAGGTGTGAACGGCCGTGGAGGGTACGGAGGGAAGGATGTTTTGGTACGCCGCGGAAATATCAAGCTTGTTCTTGTACAATCGTTAAGACAAGAGTATAAGCAAGAGCTCCCCATATATTGATATTATTTTCTTTTTAGTTTCTAAATCTTAGGGACGAAATGATATATTTCTATATTTGAAAATAATTATGTTTAAACTTCTATTTTATCCTTGTAATAAAGAATACATTATCAAATAAGCAGATCCAGAACATGTTTACAAAACCATATACAAAATTATTCAAAACTTAAATCAAAGGAAATTCCAAGGTGAATTTTTTGCCATGATGTTTAGTAAATTACCATTTTTTAAATTTCTCATCCAACTTATAGACCTTTTAGACTATGATATAAAGATCTATTTTGAAGAAATTAAAGATCTTATGAGAAAACGTTAGACCACAATCTAAAACTTTGTAAGTCATTGCAAAAAACTAGACGACAATCTAATATTTTGTCGGTAAGATTGAACATATATGAGCAAACGTTTGACCCGAGTCTAACTTGTTTGTAAAGATAATTTCCTAAAGGCAATAAGTAGACCAACACTATAGCCCAAATTGTTAAAAGGCCAGCAAAACACAGCCCAAATTTCCACAACTTAAGTAACAAAAAACACAGACAAACACAGCCCAAAATTCCACCAATTAATTCCCAAAAGAACCTTATCTTCTCATCAACACATCTTATCCACACCAACAAAACCTTAACTCTTACATTTTCCTCACTCACCATGGCAACAATTCAATTAACAACCTCTCCATCTTTCACTCTCATTCCATCAAGAAAACAAGCCAATCTTGCTGCTATTAAGCTAAACAACCCCTGGTCAGTCAGGAGAACAGAAAACCGCCGAGTATCGAGTGTAGTTCGAGCTTATAAAGTAATAGTAGAACATGAAGGTAAAACTACAGAGCTGGAAGTTGAACCTGATGAGACAATCTTGTCGAAGGCACTTGACGTTGGCATGTCCGTACCCTACGACTGCAAGCTAGGAGTGTGCATGACTTGTCCAGCAAAGCTTCTAAGTGGGAATGTGGATCAAAGTGAAGGTATGCTAAGTGATGATGTTGTGGAGAGAGGTTATGCATTACTATGTGCAGCTTATCCAAGATCAGATTGCCATATTAGAGTCATACCTGAAGAAGAGCTTTTGTCTCTGCAACTCGCAACTGCCGATGATTGAACATGAAGACGACGACCCTATTTTTGTTATTCCATTTTTGACTGATGTAAAACTGATACAAGATGTTCTACTTCTTGAGCAATTCAATGCAAAAGTATGTGTGGTTTATTGCTATAAATTGTTTTGCTCATAAGCCATTTCAACTATGATTATATGCCAGTATTTTCTTTTGGACACCCCATTCTGCAGCGAAGTATGACCACACAGCAGCTCACCTTGATTCCTATCTTCAGGAGCATGAAACCAAACACAAATATACTAATTCATCTCTGCATAAGGCATTTGAACAAATAAATGGATCAACAAAAAATTTTGTTGATCCTATATAGATAAAAGGTGTGCTAAGGTCTCAGACTGTCTATTTAGAAATCGCCAAATATTTTGGACGTTTTATCATACTAATTACAAATAATGCTATCATGTAAACCAGATTTCTACATTAACAGCAATGTTTTCTCACGAAAAGAATACAAAACGCAGGAAATAAAAGAATTATTCCTAAGTTTGTAACTACTATTGTAACTACTCCAACGATTTAACAATGAATTTAGGGAAATGTTCTGCAATCTTGCAAAAAGGGTAATGCACTTCTAACCTTGATCTAGTTACTACGCTGCTCTGTTTGCAAGCTTGTCAGGATTGATAAAACTTGTCACTTTTAATTTCATCCGCATTTGTCAAAGTACTAGTACCGAACTATTGAATCTTGCATGATTCCACTCCTTGTCAGTGTGCCGATTAAGCAACTTTCTATAGCAAAAGACCTGATTCACTTTCCTAAATCAAGTTTCACCGAAAGCCATGAGGATGATACTTACAACATTCTTGCCTTGATGAATAGTAATATAGGATGACCACCTAAGCTGTTGGGCGGTGGAAGCCATGTTTCTTGGTTTTCCTCTGCTTAATCTTTACCTTCACATTGATGCCATTGTTAATAATGGACTGAAGAACAATCTCAAGTTTCCCCTCCAATTTCTCCCTCATCCTTGGCGTATAAATTACATTATGAATATCATCAGCCAAGGCTCTTTGAGCCAGAACTTCCCCAACAGCAGCACAAGTAGCTCTATTCTTTGTCGATCCCAAGTCAAATTTCATATCCTTGGAAATAGAATGTGCCACAGCAACGACCTTGCTAGTAGCTCTATGGATGATGCTAGCACTGACCGAACCTTTCGAGACAAAAATATCCAAACAAAACGGCTCATGATAAGGGGCAGTAAGCTGATTAAAAGTTGGAACTCTTGACCTCTTTAGCTGAAAATCCTGAAGGTTATTCGTATCATCTAACATCATTCTGTCCACTGAAAATTCAGAGTTACAGCGCAGTTTGTCCTTGTTGCTTTGCTTCTTCTCATCTATACCCTTTAGGCTTTTCTCGACCCCAGAAGCTGAAACGTTACTTGAATTTTCCTTCTCTTTGGGACAGTCATTTCCATTATTCTTGTTCTTATTCCTTCTATGGAAATCGAACTTATATTCTTCATATTCCTTGGAATCTTTATCAAGCTTGTAAAACAAGTTACCGCGTATCCTCAAATCCTCAATATCGTCAAAATCAGGATCTTCATCATTATAACTGGCCACCCCATCATCAATATCGTCCTCTTGACTAAATGAAGGATTTTTCTTCGACGCAACATTTGTATTTCCTCTCCACACTTCAGCTAAGCCAGAGGACACACTCCAAGTCTCATTATCCACTAGTTCAATCCTGCAATCTTTCAACGAATATTTCTCATCCCTATACAATGGCGAAAGATGAAAAACCCCACCACCAAAATCTGCAGCAACAGGACGTGGTTTACTATCTTCCACGAACAAATCATTTGCTTGACTAGCTCTTGTGGGTCTTGAGGAATATGAACACACTCTTAAGGTACATTGGGAATTGAGTATACAAGACAAGTTAATTAGTTGTCTTCTCAAGAACACGAACGACATCGAAGAATCCAAACAGTAACAACTCTACACCAAGGGTGAACTTAGTATTAGCTTGAGGTCGTTGTAGGAACCCATAAAAACTAAATCTTGAATCAGTCCACACAGCATAAAAGGGTTAAAAATGAAAATCAATGTCCTGGCTTCAAACTTCTTTGAGACAATTTAGCAAACAGTTGGTAGGCAATGATTACTATGGCCTGGATTGAGTTTCTTACATATTTGAACACAAAATACTTGTGGGGTTCAACAAATACTGAATTGCACAGATTATCAACATCTTGAGCAAATATAAAGTGAATAATTTGGGATAAAAAAGAGAAAGATAGCCCAGTTTCTAGCTCTTGCTGTGGGAGGTTATGTAAAGTCCTATTTTTGAGTGGAAGTATATGTATATACAATTATAAATTGACCCTCAAACTTTTGCTACAACTCAATTTGGTACACATCATTGTTTTTTTTTTAAAAAAAAATAAAAAATCGCGTTAATGAAAAACTATTTTTGAGACTTGTGATCTAAAACGTAAATTGGGTTAACCCTATTGATAATAATGTCGCAATAATAATTTAACCTAGTACGAGAGAACCGTTGATTACGCAATTGGTCATCGTGCTTGGTTGAAAAACCAATAACGCTAATCTATCGTGTGTTGGATTATGACTTAACAACTTTGGCCCCCAAGAACACTTATAATTGGCTAAGTCATCACATTCACCGCCTTCAAGTATGAGTTCCAATGAGCGGTGAATTTGTTACATTAGTGTGACTGTAAAATAATGTAATTAGGTATAAAATAAGAGAAGTCTTGAAGCAATGACAAAATTGTCTCCATATTAGATCACAAGGACCTATGGATCACAAGTTTGAGCAGTGAAAACAATCCCTTAAGTGGTCTCCAAGCCTTGCATAAACACAAAATGCTTTGCGCATTAGGTTGCCTTTTAAAATAAAAAATTATTTGAGAGAGAAATTGTTTCCGAGAAAACAATGTGAAGACAAAGACAATGTAAAATGAAAACTTATATGAATGAGAATGTTTTTGGCAATGCCAACAAATAATCTTTAAATAAAAGATTTCAACATCCACATCCTTTTAACAATTTTAGGTAATGAATACTTTATACACTAGTTTTTTCTGCTTCATATCATCAGAAAAAGGCATTCCAAGAGAAACAAAAATTGAACCAGATGTGGATGAAATGATGAATTTCAAAGATCTCAAGGACCTTGAATATCATTTACCGATAAAGTCAGCAGAGTTCTCCAAAATTTTCACCCAAGCAACTTCTGACTAACTATAGTATAAGTAATAATCAGTCTAGACGGCAACACAAGAAACGTTAGCGCTGTTAAACATGTTCCAACAAAATAATTGAATTCATTTCTCGTCACGCCATCACATACACCACCACTGTGTTGCTCAATGCACCTACTCAAAAGCTGCAATAGCCTTCCAACTTGATTTCAACTTCCACCTAGATCTAGATCACATGGAAACAAGCATATAATTTAGACCAAAACCATTGCGGAGTAATTTTTGTCTACCCGGCTACAAACAGCCTCTTGCACAATTGAGACAAAGATCTGAAGGAAGCATCAAGAATCAGTTCAACAGAAAACCAACCCAAACAGCTCCAAACAACATAACTAGTAGGATTAGAACACTAACAAAAGCATATTTCTCAATCTTTTCATCACCACCAAGTTGTGCAGAAGCATCAGCAGAACAAGAAACAGATCACATTTACTTCAATGATTTTTGCCTAACCACATCAAGAGGTCTCATTTGATGAATAACTGCAGCTTTATGAAAAGAAACTTCGGCACTAATTCTGACATTACTTCCACATAAACTGCAGAGGAATCCAAATTGCCCTCATTCATAAATTGCATCACCAGTGCATTTAGAATCGGAAGCTTGTTTTGGAGCCACATGTAGCTCATTACCACATCATATATGCTTTGGTTAATTACACTGAGTGAGACTGTAAGGGCCTTGCCAATTCCACAAGGGGTCAAGGTATATGTTAAACCATGTCTATTGCTGCTGACTTCTTTTCAAGCACTTTGGACAGCAGGGTCTAGAAAACAGCTATCTACAGAAACCACCCAAATATCTTTCCGATTGTTATTAGTGGACAGAACTATCAGAAGCATCTTCAAGCTATTTTTCTGCCGACATGTTCCCAGAAGAAACTTCAGCTAATGAATCAAGACCAGGGTGCTATAACTTATAACAACTGCATTTTCTTTCTAAACTTTTACATTGATAGGCTCTATACCAGAGTTGAGAATGTTTGCAGGACCTAGTGCTGCATCTTCAGTATCAGGCCTGCCGTCACTTGCGCCAGATGGAGGAGAAGAGAGCATCCACTTTGTGGCTGATTCAGCAAAATTCTTCTCCACCTCCTTACTGGAAACTTGGGTGTCTGACTTGCAACAACCACCTTGTGCTCTAACCACAGTGCTATCACTTAACTGAACGGCAGAAACTGGAGAGTCAGAATCCATTGGACCAAACCTGTCATCAGGTTTTTCGACAATGTTCACACATACGCCATCATGCAGATGTCCGGCACGCCTGAGAGATGATTCCTGATCCCTTTTTTCAACCAAAACAGGCGATGGAGGATGACTTTGCTGTAACACACAAGCTGCAGAAAATCCAGTACAAGTCCAAGTCACAAATACCGATAGAAAAGATATTCTTAGCTAAAAAAGCAAAATGTTACAGAAAAACAAAGAGGAAACAGGAATATATAATTATCCTATTACCCTCTTGCACATCTTTCTTCAGTATCTTCTTTTGTAACATGTTTGTACCAGGAAACACCAACATACTGATGGATTTCATTTCTTGCTTGTTTGATTCCTCAAGTTCATCGAATCCAAAAACCTTGGCCCAGGTATGCAGATGCTCAGATATAGCAGGAATGATTAACTTCTCAACTTTTAAAGTGGAGAGGACCTGGATGGAAGATGTAAAAACCATTGGTCTAATAATAAACGGCATATACAAAACATAATCAATGCAGGTGATGAACATGCTGTCGGCATTTTCTGAACAAATTTTGCACAGATGCACAGGACAATTAGAACAGACATGGCATTCACATAACCTTTGTGGCATTCATAAAAAATAAACCTTATGAGGTTGGACAACATTAAACCTCATAGTGGGAAATGAAAACAAGATGACAACGACCTAAGCTATATCATTGGAATTTCTTGTTTCACAACGATATTACTGTTACTCAAGTTGACAATATAACTGTTCAGTAAAGCTAAATATATGTGCTTTCGGTTAAAAACTTAAATACAATTGAGACAGCTTTTGTCCTACACCATTTTACACTTCTCTAAAGCCACATTCTTTGACATATTTCTTGCAGACAATGTTCCAAAATATAGGTGTAGGCTTTGATAAATTTTGTGCTACTTTAGTAAGGATGAATCAATTGTCAATATATTAGTTCGGAAGAGTGAAACTGCCAGCCCTGAAAAGAAATTTGGATACTCCCCTCTGCGATATATTCATTTATATGAATTACCAAAACAATTTACTATAGGAGTAGCATGCACATAAAGGAACATGGGAAACGTCAGCAGTGGGTCTGATATGCTACCCTTCGAAAAAATTATATGCATACAAATTGCAGAAAGAAATAGAATAATAAAGAAAGTATAATTAGCAATAGTAATTTGCGTACTGTCTCAATAGCATCAAATAGTCGACGACACATCCCTTGCTGCCTATATATATTCCTGGTCCCAATGAATGGCATTTCTGCAAGTTGAGTTCCACGGATCCTAACAGACAACCAGTTAAAACACTATTTACTGATTGGTAAGGCATGAATAAACACTGCACAAGCACAGATGACGCTTAAGAAAAAGGGAAAGCAAGTTTTAACAACTAAGTAAAACTGAGAAACTGATGACTAGAAGAGTTCCGCTACATTTCTACATGAATGCTAAGGTCGGGAATAAAAAGTTAACCAAAAGAAACTCTTTAAATTGTCCCCTTAAACAGCTAGGAGTTTTACTTGTAAAAAAACATGCAATCATCATTCTAGATAGCACTCATAAGGTTACGACACCAAAAAGGAATTTCCTTCAGCCAGTAATCTGAAGCCAATAGCTACACCTAAAAAAAAAGATGAGACAGATACAGTCCAACTCCAATAAAGGATGCTTTGTTGGATGAGACAGGTTCAGTTAATCAGTGCATGTGCTAAAAAAAACAATGAAATTTTATCAAAGATCATAATCATGTATGCAAGGAACACCATTGCATCTGCAAGAAATCTAAAATTATTTAGTTTTAAAACAACACACCATAATATCTTGTGCCCAACCTCTTCAGATCTGAAAAACAAACTCGCATAGTAACATATTAACAATTTGAGCAATCCATCCTACCGTATAGATGCAGCAGATATTATGTCATCACCCCTTTCCAGAATTGCAGTGTAGAAGCCACGAAAATTCAGCCGACTTAAATTTGAGCTTCAGAGGAAAGAGAACAATTTCAGATTACGACTCAGTAATGAAAACCAAATTCAGATGAAGGAAAGAAGCAAAAGACAGTGGGAGGGAAAAGATATATGATTTATTTTTAAAACATTATTTTAGGAGGATCACTGTGTTTCAAGGAAGTGTACATGGGCAAGATGACGAATGAATAGAATGCACTGTTTCCTCCATGAAGTTGAGGAGAAATAGAAAGGACGAAGAAAAATATTAAAGAACAGAAAAATAATCCTAAAATGCCACAATTCTCTTCTTTATTCCACTGAGCATCTTATGATCACACTGGGTATGTTGTTGTTTATTCCTCTGAGCACCAACCTAGATCAAAGGATGCTCAATTATTAACAGTGCAAGCCTCCCTTCTCAATCAAAATGCTCTGCACTGCTTCGTCCTAGCAGTCGGCCATACAAACTTAGACGTGAAAATGAAAGATGAATGATGCGTCTAGTAAGGATGAAACACATTATCTTGAGGCATCAAGAGAAAAAGGTACAATTGCAAATTTCTAAAAAGATTGAATAGCCTATCTGAAAACATAAACCAAAATTCTATGCTTTGACTTTTCAAAAACATATATATATATATATATATATATATATATATATATATATATATATAAAGTTATAAATGTTGCTTTCATGGACCCAATGTAGAAACTGCACTCACAACAAAATAAAGTATGAAAGATCATATGTGAAAACCAAAATGGCCAAATCAAATCAGTCAGCCAGCTCTCCTTCTCAGGTTAAACAAATAATGAGCATCCATAAATTTTATATCAGGTTTAAAACACTAGACAGAACTACAAAAACTGCATACCCAGTGTTGTAGAGAACGTTGTGAATAATATTTATCCCACTTCTCCTGTCGACAATGGGCACGAAACATTCATCCATAACAGCCAGTGCAACAGCTAGCTTAGAATTGCACTCCACCTGTTGAGGAAAGGGGCAATGAGAAGTATCTGAGTCCAAATCTGTTCGTTGAATCAGGGACCATGAGAATCCTGCTTCAAGTTCATGTTTGACACCAAGAATATTCTGTAAATGGTCATACAGCTGCATAACAAGAGAAGACCAATAAGAAAAGACATTAAAATACAAATCCCATGGGAGATCCCAACTCTGATATGAGGCAGACAATGAAAAGCAAAAAAAAAAAAAAGGAAAAAAAGAGAAGCGCATATATAGAAAACAGTCTTTCACCATAATTGCATGAAAAAAAAAAGTAAATGACAAAGTTGCCAAGATTTCATCTTAAACTGTAAATCCTTCTATCAGAATTTGATTATACTATTTCGATTCAACAGTCAGTTGACTTAGTTTTGGAAAAAGATCAAACAGATATATTTGATTTTCTGAAAATAAAATACAGATGGTTTAGACACTACATGTTGTAACTATTAGAATGATGATGAATATATTCAGAATCCTAAGACAGATATTATTTATTTTTATAAGACAGCCATTTAAGATAGGGGAAGTATTAGATGTAATATAGCATTAGAAATTTGGGGAACACAAACTATCAAGGAAAATTCACACTTCTCAGATCACTACGAGGAAACAACAACAACAACTACTACTACGGCTACTTTTAAAAAAAAAAAAAACCAACACCTCAATCCCAAACAAGTTAGGGTCGGCTATATGAATACTCATTTCTTCATTTAAGCTCATATCATATCATCATCATAACAAATAAAATAAAACTGAAAAATATTAATCGGCTATATATAAAATACTAATAATAATGCCCCCAAGGTCTAGCTCAAGTGGCAGAAGGTGGAGGATTTGTGGCTTAGGTCGCAGGTTCAATCCCCACACCATGCAAAGCGAAGCCTAGTGGAGAAGGGTAGAGGGGCGGGCCCATTATCCACCGAGTTTAGAAGGTTATGATTGGTCCAAAGGATGGGTCACATACGGATTTCTCGGTTATCAAAAAATAAATTAAAAAATACTAATAATAATATAAAAGTTCCATACGAGTCTAAAATTTATCCTCAACTAGTAGTTATCACCTATATGGATCTTTTTCTTCTATTGTGCCCTACCTCTAGCTAGGTCTGCATTGATACCAAACATTTGAAGGTCTTTTGATGCCACTTCCTTCCATGTGATTTTAGGTCTACCCCATCCCCTTTTAACGCCTTTGCTTACCATAGATTCACACCTATGGACCGGTGTATCTATACGTCAACGCAGAACATGTCCGAACCATCTCAAGCAACCTTCTCGCATTTAATCCTCAATGCCTACAGTTGCAGGATGTTTTAGAAACCAGCAAGAAATCTAAGTACAAGAAGTCAAGAGGAGGGTAGACTTAAACTCCTTGCGCTCATATTCAATTGATAAGTTGCAAATGGCTCCATTTTATACATTTCTACTTATGCAGCAACAGGTCGAATTATGTCAATCACCTAAAAGTCTAGACTCCACAAGAAAGCATCTTACCTTCACTTCCTTTTGTTTCTCTTGAATTTCTTGCTAAGCTCTCAATTTCTAAAATTGATTAAAGTGCACTAATCACTGGAGAAACAGAAAGATGCCAAAGAAGATGAATCATGCTACACATTCAAGCAGGTATTCAAGGAGGAGGAGAGAAGATTTGGCCATTCAAAGTAAATCCTCTGACAAGTACAAGAAAATGTTTTTTTCTACCATCTCTTTTCAACAGTTTTGTACCTGTGAATGATAGTGAAAATAGTGCATAGGAGCTTATGCTGAGTCCTCTGGGATAAAAAGTGGAACATACTTTAAAAGTAGAGTTACTAATAGTGACGGGCTGACTGCACACTATTTCTCAAATAATTCCCACTAATTGATACCTCTGCTTCATGATCTTAATATGTTATACACCATAAAGAAAAAGAACTCACAACCAGAATAAGAGACTACCTCCTGGCATTTCTTCCCACAAAATGTACCAGATGGATTATTGGAAATAGCAGGTAAAGCATTCATCTCCAAACTGCATGATTTATGATCTGCAAAGAGAAATCTAAGAATCCAGCTCCAATGTAGACCAGTTAATGTACAAAAACTTCCAGAGAAGTATACTTTACATTTTTTCTCACAGAGGCAGCAAGAAAGAAATTTGTGGACTACTGTCTCACTATCCTCAGCAGGGTTTCTACCAGCAGCCCCACAAAATTTGCAAGTGCAATTTGGACAATGCCAAAGGCCTGTAGGAAGTATCTGCACCAAGAGGAAGAGGAAGTATGTAAATGCCTTGCTGCTTAATGAAAATTATGTTATAGGTTCAAATTGGAAAGCATGATAATAAAGAGAAAGAGAAAAAGCTCATCTGTCATCAGATTCACAAACATGATATAAGTAAATTACTTTAAGCTCATGTGTTGAATTCTTTGATATGTCTGGATAGAGATGGAACTTCCCTAAGAAAATATCGTCCTAATAATTATTTTTGGCAAGTAAATAAAGTCCTAAAAATAATGTCTTTATTTCCTATTCCTCCAGGTGTCATTAATAGGTTGGATAGCATCAGGAGAAAGTTTTTGCGGCAAGGAAACAAGGAAAGGAAGGGGTACCACTTAGTCAAATGGAAAAAAGTGATCAATGATAAGAGAGTTGGGGGTTTAGGGATCAAGAACCTTAAGAATCAAAGCAATGCTTTGAGAATGAAGTGGCTTTGGAGGTATTCCAACGATGATCAGAATTTATGGGGCTCAGTCATAAAAGCAAAATATGAAGAAAGTGACAATTGGATGACAAAGGAAGTTACCACTCCCTATGGTGTTAGTTTATAGAAATCCATCCGATCACTATGGGATGAATTCAAACAAAACACCAAGATTAAAGTGGTAGATGGTGCTAAAACTAGATTCTGGAAGGAGGATTGGCATGAAGCAGGAAATCTGGAGACACCTTTCCCGGACATACATTCTCTGGTTCTTCAGCAACAAAATACAATAGCTGAACTATGGACACCTCATGGGTGGAATATTATATTTAGAAGGCACCTCAATGATTGGGAAATTCCAAGAGTTACAGAATTCTTCAGCGTCATTGAACAATTTAGTGGCTTGGAGACAGGGAAAGACAGATTGCAGTGGTTGGGGAACAGCACTGGGACTTTTAAAGTAAGTGCAGCATATAGGAAGTTGAACCACCCAATTATGCAGGAATCCAAATGGCCCTGGAAACACATTTGGAAGGCCAAGATCCCACACAAAGTGGCCTGTTTTGTGTGGTTACTGGCTAAGGAAGTGGTGTTGACACAGGAGAATTTGATGAAGAGGGGGATTACACTGTGTTCAAGATGTTTTTTTTTGCGGGGAAACTGCAGAAACAATCAATCACTTGTTCATCCAGTGCAAGGTCACTGGCCAATTGTGGAGTCTATTCCTAAGGCGCAAAAACATCTCATGGGTCATGCCTGGTAGAATTGCAGAGGCCTTATATTGGGAAGAAGCAGGATTACAAGCAAAGAACAAAAGCAACTGGAGAATCATTCCTGCTACTATTTGGTGGACTGTCCGGAAAGAGAGAAATCTTAGAGTTTTTGAAAATAGGGAGAGTAATATGTAGCAAGTAAAATTGAATTGTATTCTAACTTTGTGTTTTTGGTGTAATCAGATCTACTCTAATGACACTGTCTCTATCAATGATGTGTTAGACTCATTATAGGGATAGGACAGTGCCTTTAGAGTTCATTATGTAAATATGGTTTCAGTACAACCCATGTACTGATTTAAAGAAATAGAAACAGTTACCAATCTCAAAAAAAAATGTTCATTAACATGGTAATTGTAATGGACTTTTGTCTTCCATATTGTGGTTGACACAATGAACAATTTTAAACAGTTCATTAGATGGAGGGACGGGAATACGGTTAATCTATAGAAAAGTTCAATGATCAATTTAACTGAAGAGTTTTGGTCAGAAGATGGTCAGCTGACAGAGTTTACACCGAAGATCATGGATCAGGAATTGCCTAGAGTTATTTTATCATTGATAGTCTTCTGTGACTTGGCTCCTTTCTTTTACTTTTTTCTTCTTTTGTTTTTTTTGGTTTACAAGGTAAAGAAGATGATATAGCTCGATGGGCAAGGATGATGCTATAGAAGCCCTAAGAAGACATCATCAAGGTCTCAAGCTAAGGAGTTGCAAGCCAAGATTATTGGGCTTCAGTGGGAAAGCAAGAAGTTGCTTATTATGGAAGAAGAGCCCAAGAAGTAGTACAAGAATTGTGGAGAAGAATTGGCCAAGTGCTACACATTTTATGGTTAAAGTTTAAAGTAAATGCAGCCTATAGGAAGATGAACCAACCAAACCAGCAGATACTCCGATGGCCTTGGGAACACATTTGGAAAGCCAGAATCCCACACAAAGTAGCCTGCTTTGCCTGGTTATTGGCTAAGGAAGTAGTGCTGACACAAGATAACTTGATGAAAAAGGGGATCCCTTTATGTTCCTGATGCTTTTTCGGTGGGGAAACTGCAGAAATAGTGGTCCATCTATTTATACATTGCAAGGTTACAAGTCAACTCTGGAGATTATTCCTATATCTCAAAAACATATCTTGGTCCATGCCAGGGAAAATCACAGAAGCATTACATAGTTGGGAAGAAGCAGGAGTACATGCTAAGAACAGAAACAACTGGAGAATTGTACCTACAGCTATATGGTGGACAATATGGAAGGAGAGGAACCTTAGAGTTTTTGATAATACAGAGCATACATACAAGAAGTCAAAATGAATTATATTTTGACTTTATGTATTTGGTGTAACCAGATATACTCTAATGATATTGTCTCTATCATTGATGCATTAGACTCATTATAAGGATAGGATTGTAGATTCTGAAATCTTTTGGAATATGGTTTCAGTACATGGGATGTACTGTGTTACAGAAATAGAAACAGTTACCTGTGTCAAAAAAAAAAAAGTCCGAACCCAAATGGAAGAAGATTGCGGCCCAAAAGGGGCTGAAATTTCTGCCCAAAGGAGAATTTAAATTCTCACACAAGTTGGGTGGAAAAAGTCACATGCAAGTGACTATTTTGGTGGTGACCTTTTTGGCAACTTTTCCATATTTTCTTAGGATAGGAATTTAGATATTATTTTTATATGATTTCCTAGTTTTAAGTTTCCTAGTTAGGTTTTATTAATTATTATTTTCATAAAAGTAGGATTCAAATCTCATGCTACTTGGGATAGTATTCCCCTATATATATAGGGATGAATTTGTTATTTTAGATACATAACTATTATTAACTGAGAGTTTCTCTTCTTTACACCTTTCTGTGTGGCTACTTGGGATTTATCTTACAATCTTATAAAAACAATTCTTTATGAGGTAAGGTTAATTCTTTAGCTTGATATCTATGTTCTTATTTGTAATTATAGATGGTAATTAGTTTTATACCAATTATTGTCTCTAATTTCTTAGAAAATATGGGTCTAGATTACCTTTAGATTTAAGTTCTTAAATTGACCCTATTAGTATCATAATTAGTTTTAATTCGATAATGTTTGAAATTTGAATGCTAAGATCAATAAGGGTTCTTGGCACTTAATTTCAAAATTTGGGGATTTCATTCTCAAATTTCGCATATCTTCCGCATTATTTTCTTGGTTTTATTTAGGTAACCTGATTCTTATCAGATAACTTGGCCCCTTTCTATAGTCTCCCTTAAGGAGTCCATATGGGGTGGAAGCAGCAGGTTTATTGATTAACTATAAATGGACAGTATAACAACGACAACATACCCAATATAATCCCACAAATGGACAATGAAGACAATATAATGCTAAGAAGGATAGTGCAGACCTACTCCAGAGAAATCTAGAAAAAGCAAAGGAATGGATTCACCTGAGGACTTGCATCAGAACTAAGAAGTTCTTTTTTTTATAATAACTGGGATGTCTGAGCCAACTTGTGCGCACCTTGGCTAATTCCATGATACACTTGTCACCTTCCACCCACTACAAGTATCAGGTAACTCTGTTCACCAAGACTAGGTAACTATGTTCACCAAGACTAGGACAGATGGAGAAAAATCACCTAATTTATTTTGTCTCTGATGAGATTTGAACCTGGGAGGCTGAGACCTCATAGACCATAGTTCTCAACCCATTTCATTGACCACAAGGCCACACCCTTGGGTATTCAAAACTAAAAAGTTCTTACCAGTTTTTGTTATTTTTACCCTAGGACAGAGATAATAAACGGAAATTAAAAAAGAACCCCTTTCCACCTCTGATTTCTTTTTCTATCCTGCTTTGCCTCATTGATCAAATTCAAAAGTTCTTCTGATACAAAGTTCCAAAGTTATGTATAAGTCAATTCACATGCTTAAAATTTCATTTTGGTAAATATCAGTACAAAAGTTACAATAATTAACGTCACACAAAGGAAAGATGAAGTGTGTGGAGAACTATGACGATATCCAGAGACAGGTCTAAGATTTTTAGTTTATGAGAACTGCACCACAATGTTTTTTGCAAACTGGGTTCTAGATAGATTATCTATACATATTAAATGAATTTTTATACAAACACAGGCTTTGGGCCAACACTACTGGTTGAACCCGAAACTATAACAGTGGCTCCAGCCCTGATAAATTGATAATACAGAGCAACAATGATACATATGAAATGCAGTGAGGTAAAGAGAGCATATTCTGATGGATACATACTTGTATTCCTAGACAGCTCTGATGAAAAGTTGATGGGCAACCATCACAACAGATAAGGTCACCACCATCACCACAAATACCACAAACATCATCTTCACCATCATCACCATCAATGTCTATATTGTAGAAATTCTGGCGATCAGACTCTTTTTGCTGATTCCATGCGTCAACCAAGCACTCTAGTAAGGAAGCTCCAGACTCTAAAACTATGTTTTGAAATGGTTGATACCGTTTACTTCCTGCATGGAGCTCAAATCTTGAAACTGGAAGGATTTTACTACAGCAACCACAGTGGACACCATCTTGTGTGATCCAACCTTCTAGTTTTACTGTTGTCCTTCTACGGTTCACATATTGAATCTTCTGTCTCAACTTCAATATTCCGGAGTCAATCAACCAGGACAACAAGGTTCTTTTTCCAGTATATGGAACATATCCATCACTATCTGAATTTTCCCCCTTGTCAGAATGACGGGCCAGCAATGTACATCGTCCAATTAATTTACTTTTTCTTCCATGTATTGAATTAGAAGCAACTCCAACAGATGCTTTTCCAGCCATATCCTGTTTAAGTCTCCTTGCCTGCAATGAGTTATCACTTGAATTATCCCCACTCTCCTGGTCTGATGCATGTAATTTTCCTTGCAGCAACTTATCTGTCTTCATTATATAGCTATTGAACTTCTTCTCGCGCTGATCACTGCATATGCCCAACACAGACTCCCTCACAAAAGTCTGTTTAGGATCTTGTCTCTGGTCAACGTCTTTTCTTTTCTTTTTCATTTCTTTCTCAATTTTTTTCCGTGTTTGCCTGGTAAGTTTATTAATTAAATCTTCTGATATTGGAGCAAATGAACAAGAGCTGCCATCAGGTTTGCTTTTACCTGAATCTACCTCCGATCGTTTTTGAAATGCTTCATAGGCCTTAATTATTGACCAATAGGCTGTTCCACTAGGATTAATGTACACTGCATCCAGATATTCTCTGTTCTTTCTTGGTCTATAATCAATGGTCCATCCAGCTTCAATGAGCATTCCTCTTATTTGTTCTCGCAACTTCTGCTTCTCAGTGCTCCCACCTCGATTCACTTTTCCATCTTTTCTTTTAGCAGGGGTAACATCTTCAGACGCCAAGGGCCTGCTTTCTTCCTTCAGCACACGTATTGCTGAGCTAGCAGGCTGCAAACTAGGAGGTGCCAACTTTAGTGACGTATCAGTCTCATCTTTTTCAGAGGCCACTAAATGGGTGCTTTTACCCAACAAAGGTTTTTGTGGTTTCAGCTCATTTCCCTCTGTTTGAATCAACAAAGGTTGCTTTTCAGGTTGTTTAGGACCCCAGTAAAAGGATGGACGGACTTGAAAATTCCTCTTGACAACATCTGCCGACCAAGAGCCTTTTCTACCTTCAATTTCCACAGGATCATATTCCTTGGGCCTGAAGTCGATCTTCTTCTTCTTATTCACCATAACCTTCAATACCCCATTTTTCCCTTGCAATCTGATTGATTCATGAGAGGCTTCTCTTGGCAATGACATGGGCATATGCACTCCATCCTCTAATAAACCATACCTTCTCTTAAATCCATTGCCATCGCCCTTTGACCTACTACCCGGAAAACTACTTGAACTATCCATATACGAAAGCTTCCTCTTCTCAACCATTACACTTGTAGACTCAATCCCAAACTCTCTCGAACCCCCTCTTCTTTCAACCATGTTAAATCTGTCATCATCATACACATTCGATTGCATTTTCGTATCACATTCTTCATGCTTGTTAAAATTGGACAAATTCATATTTCTACCAAATTCACCATCTCTAACACCACTTCTTCCATAAAAAACAGAACCATTACTAAAAACTTGACCATTTTTTCGCTGAATTGACTCTGATATCTCATCACTCGACTCATACTCATTTGTCACAAACATAGGCCTGTTCTTCACCTTCTGTGAAGCCCCTGAAGAACTGATCCCTCCAATGCCCAACCTATCATCTTTCCTTTTAATAATTAAACAACCAGAAGAGCTTTTCTTCTTCAGTACACCACCCCCTGATCTCACACTATCCTCCATCTTCATATGTTAATACAAAATGCAATCTCAAAATCTCACGCAAAGTAACATTAAATTTTTTTTTCAAAACTCCAAATTCTACCTTCAGTTATTCAACATTTGACAGATCTGAAACATTGAACAACAAAAATCCCAACCTTAGATACAAAACATCAGAAAATTTCCGGTTCGGTGATAAAATTCAGAAGTGAGTGAAAAATCGATGATCATTACCTGGACGGAAAGCTTCGCGATTTGCCAATTTCACCGGAAAAGCGATGCTATTGGCCGGAAAATTTGGTTTGGTTCATCGGCATAGTTGTATATATGAACAGACACCTGCTGTATTTTTCAGTACAGAACAAAAACTATAAGGACAAGGTAAAAAGAAAAGAAAAACAAACCTTATTGCAAATTTTTAGCATTTAATGATGCAATTACACCTAAATTGCCTTTACAATTGTAACTTGGCACATTTTCTTTTGTTTTCAGCCCCACGTCCGGTATGTATTTTGGCCCAACTAGTTTCAATTTACACAAAAAAAATTCCAATCTTCATACCAAAAACTATTCTCGAGAAGTAATTTTTTCTTTTGTTCCCGCCTCGATGTTCAGTATTTGTTTTGGCCCAACTAGTTTCAGTTCGCGAAAAATATTTCCCAAACTTCCTTAAACAACTCTCGAGCAGAACTTTTTCTTGTGTTTCCTGCTCCGGTGTTCGGTATCTGTTTTGGCCCAACTAGTTTCAGTTCGCGCGGAAAAATTTCTAAGCTGTCTACAAAAAACGACTCTCGAGAAATAACTTTTTATTTTGTTTCCTACCTTGGTGTTCGGTATTTGTTTTGGTCCAACTAGTTTCAGTTCACGCGGAAAAAATTTCAAGCTTTCTGCCAAAAATGACTCTCGAGCAGTAACTTTTTCTTTTGTTTCTCGCCCAGGTGTTCGGTATTTGTTTTGGCCCAACTAGTTTCAGTTCGCGCAGAAAAATTTTCAAGCTTTCTGCCAAAAACGACTCTCAAGAAGTAACTTTTTCTTTTGTTTCCCACTCAGGTGTTCGGTATCTGTTTTGGCCCAACTAGTTTCAGTTCGCGCAAAAAACTTTCCAAGCTTCCTGCCAAAAACGACTCTCAAGAAGTAACTTTTTCTTTTATTTCCCACCCTGGTGTTCGTTATCTATTTTGACCCAACTAATTTCAATTCGCGCTAAATATTTCCCCAGCTTCCTGTCAAAAATGACTCTCGAGAAGTAGAGTTATATCTTTTGATATTATAAATAGTAGTAGTAATAGTTTTTAAATGTGATTTATCAATTGATTACTACAACTTAAACATTACTTTTGAGAAACACAATTTATAAATTGTAATTGACTAGTACGATTTATTGCTTGTACATAGCTCTGGTTAGTTACGATTTATAAATTGGTTATGATAAATGTAACTGAAATTTCATAGCTCACTCTATTTCTCCTTATTTTTATGAATTAAAAATGATTCATTGAATCTTCTTTGATCATTTAAGATTGAGTTGCGAAAATTTAGGTGAAATTTCACCTAGATAATGTTGCAAGTTTTTATTAAGCATATGCCTTTATTCCCTTTTGCTTCTTGATAAAAAGTTGTATATTATGTCTAAGATGAATTTTATTTATATATGATGGTATAAAGAATGTTTATATTGATATTGTATTTTTAATTGTTTTAGAAAATTTTCTATTATATTTTTTTGACTAGTAAATTCCACAACTATAAATTACATGGTCAAAATTTAGGTTTTGATCCCTAATAGCAACCTCAAAAACTTGGTCTTACTTGTTATTATAAACTCCGTTACTAAAGGTGAATAACAAGAGATTGATATCAAAATGGGAGCTAAAGAGTTATTTACAAGTTCGATCGAATATTTGGTGTAAATTATAGTATCACTTAATATGCAACAAAATTAAATGTAGATAAGCATTTGATATCGCTATTCTAAATTTTAGAAAACATAAAGTTCAAAATCTCGCGCCTCTTATTGATATAAGGTATATTTGTGATCACATGTTGCTTAATGATAATACACATGTACCCTATTTATGCAAATTATTTCTTTTGTATTTGAAGTTAGAAGTTCAACTTCAACCAAAAAAAGAGGCCTGGTTTAAAAAATATCAATGCTTGAGGTTTTTGAAACAAACAACCTTAAAGCTATGGCCAGCAAATATCTTTAAGCATAATCCATGTCCAGATGGATCATGTGGATAGTGGCATTGTTTTATAATCTGGCCTCTTTTAATAGTTTAAAAAAATTGTATTCCTTTCTTTCCAAGACCAGTCTTGAAGCAACGGTAAAGTTGTTGCCTATTGATGATTGTGTCATGATAAGCCATGACATGAATGTGGGATGCTTCGTGTACTGAGATGACACTTTTTATTTGTACTTATTTTTAGTTGGTTTCAAAAAGATTGACACGTTTCTATATCTAAAAATGGTTTAACTTTAAATTTCTCGTTTTACCTTTAATGACATGATGTTATAGTAACACAAATATCATGACATGTTTAAGAATTGTACTAAGTTATTAAAGAACAAGTCAAAGCATTCTTAGCTTTCAATGCAAGAAACATCAAGAAGCATTGCTCCATTACTTGTATTGAATGAGTTTGGTTGCTTTTTATCTTCTTGATAAGCTTTTTTTTTTAAGTGAGTACACCAAGTGTATGCTAAATGAAGCTATCATGATTGTGCAATATTAAATAGCCATTAGAATAAAAAAGGAAAAGAAGATCTTCCTACAATATACTCCCTTGGTCCCATTTTATGTGCCTCGGTTATATTTTTAGTTTGTTCAAAAAAGAATGTCATCTTTAGATATTTAGAAATAATGTAACATTAAACTTCTTGCTTTACTTAAATAATATGATTTTATTATAGCCGCATAAATGTCTATGACATGTTTTAGATCACTAGTTCTAAAAGTTTTTCTTTCTTTAAACTCTGCATCTAATCAAATGACGTCACATAAGGGAATCAAATAACGGGATGTCGACAGGAAGCAAACAAACAGACCTTTAGTGATGATAAATCAAACAACAAAGAAAAAAAAATTAATAAAGTATATTGAGCCTCAATATTTAAACGATTATATTGTGGATGTTATTATGTTATTGTGGGAAGTATAGATCTGTGATTTATAAAAGTCCAAAACTTTTCCTCCAAGAAAGTAATAATCAAATATGGAAGACACACTAATATATATGTGCAAACAGTTTGTGAATGTCAAAGCACAATTTCTATATCAAGTTCTCTATGGAGTTCATAAAAGTATTGGCTCTTCCAATTCTTGTTATTGTTTTCTTGTTCTGTTTCACTAGAAGCCAATGCCATCATCCTTTAGACCCTCTTAGCCCTACTGAGATCAACAAAATTAGAGTCATTATTCAAAAGTCTCATTTTAGTTCCCTCTCCAATTTAACATTTCACTTTGTTGATCTTGAAGAGCCCAATAAAAAGGATGTCCTTCATTGGATGTCCTTGCATAAGCATAAACGTGTTGTTTCTCCTTATCGTCGAGCCAGGGTAGTGGTTCGTGCAAATAGTGAGACTTATGAAGTAGTGGTGGACTTGTCCACTCGCGCTATCATATCAGAGAATGTGTATACTGGCCACGGTTACCCTCCAATTACTCTCGATGACATTATACGATCCAGCAGGCTGACATTGAGGAATCATCAACTGCAAGATTCAATTTTGAGAAGGGGTTTGAATATATCAGAAGTCAGTTGCATACCACAACCAGCTGGATGGTTCGGGGAGCCAAAGACAAGAAGAGTTCTTAACGTGCCATGTTTTTATCGAAGAGGGACAACTAATTTTTGGGCAAGGCCAATTGAGGGGATCACTACACTAGTAGATGTTGAATCTATGAAGATAATCAAATATATAGATAGATTCAGAGTCCCCTTGCCTAAAGCTGAGAGTGCTATTTTCGAGTCATCGAGCCAGGGATCAGTCAGTACTTGCAATGACACTGATACTAGCAGGATTATCATCAAAGGCAATGAAGTTAAATGGGATAATTGGGATTTTCATGTTGGATTCAACACGAGGGCAGGAACGATCGTGTCTACAGCTTCTATATTTGATACTACAACAAAGAAATATCGACGTGTGCTCTATAGAGGTCATGTATCAGAGACATTTGTGCCTTACATGGATCCTACATTCGAATGGTACTACAGAACTTTCATGGATATTGGTGAATTTGGTTTTGGAAGGTCTGCTAGTAGTCTTGTCCCGTTGTTAGATTGTCCGAGCAATGCAGTGTATATGGTTGGATATATGGCTGATTCAGAAGGAGGGGTAGTGCAAGTACCCAACGCGATATGCATATTTGAAAGATATGTTGGTGATGCTGCTTGGAGGCATACAGAAAATGGAGTACCAGGAAATACAGTAAGCATCAAATCAAACATTTTGCATATATACTAACTATCGCGATCGTCTAGTGACATAAGTAATTTGTTTTTTGCAGAACACTAAGGGACAGCAAGAAGTTAATTTGGTTGTTAGAATGGTAGCAACAGTGGGAAATTATGATTATACACTTGATTGGGAGTTCAAACAAAGTGGAACTATCAAAGTTGGAGTAAGAAAATTAAGATGTTATGCTTGTTAAGTATGAATCCTTCTAATTCTTTTGCAATCTTTATTCATTGAATTGTCTATGCAGGTAAGTTTAACTGGAGTTATGGAGACAAAGGCTGTGAAATATACGAACGATAATCAAATAACAGAGGATGTTTACGGGACCCTTGTAGCAGAAAACACAATTGCAGTGAACCATGATCATTTCCTTACTTACTACCTTGATCTTGATGTTGATGGTACTGATAATTCATTTATAAAATCCAAATTGATAACTACGACTGTGAAGGAGCGAAACGTTTCACCTAGGAGGAAGAGTTATTGGAAAGTTGTTAAAAAAACTATGAAAACAGAAAGTGAGGCTAAAACAAACTTAGGACTAGAACCAGTTGAATTGTTGATTGTAAATTCAAATAAGAAGACAAAAGTTGGAAATGATGTGTCTTAT